TTTATGTATCGACATTTCCTCAGGTCTCGACAAAAGTGACTACTTTTGGTGTCCTCGCCATCGTACCAAAGTCGCGTCTTCTTGTGTATGGTTTTTCTGCGTCTTCTATGGTTGTCCCGTCTCTTAGTTCATGTTTTGAATGTATTGTAAGATTGTATATCAAATAGCATCATGTCAGACTCTGCAATTTTCCTTCAGTTATTTGTTTCAATTATATGTCATTGTGGTGGTTTGTCGAATCTATGGTTTGTTCGTTTTTCTCGTTTCAATTATATGTCATTGTCTCCTTTGTTTGATATGGACAAGAATTTATGGCCGAAATGATGTAAAAATAGCGACGAATATTTTAAGCCGAATTTTGCGATCATTATAGTTCGTCGCTAATTTGCGACGAATACATTTTGCAACGAAATTTGCGACGAAATTCGCGACGAATTTTGCGACGAAATTTGCGACGAAATTAGCGACGAAATTTGCGACAAATTTTGCGTCGAATTTTGCGTCGAAATGTGCGTCGAAATTTGCAACGAATTTTGCGACGATTCGTTGCAAATTTGCGACGAAATATTTGCGACGGATTGTATTCGTGGCTAATTTGCGACTAATTTTGCGACGAATTTTGCGACGAATTTTGCAACGAAATTTGCGACGAATTTTGCGACGATTTTGCGACGAAATTTTGCGACGAATCTGCGACGAAATTTGTGACGAAATTGCGACGAAATTTGCGACGAATTTTGCGACGAATTTTGCGATGAAATTTGTGACGAAATTTGCGACTAATTTGCGACGAATTTTGCAATAGATAGCGTTCGTCGCAAATTTGCGACGAAATATTTGCGACGAATTTTGCGACGGATTGTATTCGTGGCTAATTTGCGACTAATTTTGCGATGAATTTATTTTCGTCGCAATTTTGCGACAAACTTTTAAATTTTCCGTCGCAAATTCGATTTGCGACGGATTTTTGCAAATTTTCCGTCGCAAATTTCGTCGCTAATCCGGTGTTTTTTTGTAGTGATCGGGGGGTAATTAAATCCAATTCTATAAAATATTGTGGTATTTGAGCAGTATGTTTATATTAGAAATAGGATTCACTTTTAAAAATCAAACACAATTTGTCTCCTCTTTATTGAAAAAAAAAATTAACAATTTGTCTCGCTTTTTTTTTTCACAAATACCCTTGCAATATATAATACCCATTTATTGAGTAACCACACATTTTCTTTCCATGCATAACCACCATTTTATCTCACTTTTCACCATTATCTATTTATATCTATATTTATATCCCTATGTTCAAGCCAAATTTGAGGTTTATCTCACTTATGGCTTTCTGAATTCACCTTTGCATAAATTACTATCATCTAAAGAAAATAACTCCTTTTTGATCTCCACTTTGATTTATTTTTCTTGATAAAAACCTTTTTTTCAAAGGCTAAAACTGTAAAAGCTTAACAAATAGAAAACTACCCACGACTTTTCAAATTAAAAAACCACCAACTGCCCAAAAAAAAAGAAAATAATCATATTAAGCAAGAAGTATTATTTGTCTCACTTTTAACTTTACACAATATAATGTAAATTTATTTATTGAGTAACCACTAAGCACCCGCTTTCTTTCTAAGCATAACTACCATTTTGCACAAGTATTGATATTGTACCGGACATCCTCAACCATATTGAAAAATTAAAGACAATATTATATATATATATATATATATATATATATATGTTTAACCTATAATTTTTAATAGTTACATACTAAACACGCACGTGCACGATAAGATTGTAAGCGCGTGTTAGATACAATCGCGCCTGGTACAAATTGAAAGTGAGACCCTTTCCACATTTTCCATTTGAATCATATTAAGCAAGAAGTATCATTTGTCTCACTTTTAATTTTGCACTATATAATGTCTTTTATTGAGTGACCACCCACTTTCTTTATAAGCATAACTATCATTTTTGTCTCACTTTGTACAAGTACATATATCATATGGGACATTCCCAACCATATCGAGAAATTAACGACAATATTATTATGTATATATATATATATATATATATGTGTGTGTGTGTGTGTGTGTTTAACTTATTTTGACACCTATTTTCGTAAACCAGGCTGACGCCATATACCAAACTATTCTCCGAAAAGGGCGGTCACGACAACCTATAATTTTTAGCAGTTAGATACTAACTCTTTGCACACTCGTGCACGAACAATTATGCGCACATGTTAGATACGATCGTGCATGATACGAAATCAAAAGTGAGACCGTTTCCAAATTTTCGATTTGAATCATATTAAGCAAGAAGTATTAATTGTCCTACTTTAACTTTGCACTATATATTGTCAATTTATTGAATAACCACCCACTTTCTTTCTAAGCATAACTACCATTTTTGCCTCACTTTACACAAGTACCGATATCGTATTGAACATTCTCAACCATATTGAGAAATTAAAGACAATGTTGTTGTGTGTGTATACATTTAACCGATAATTTTTAGCAGTTACATACTAGCTCTTTCCAAGCGTGTGCACAATACAATTGTGCACGCGTGTTAGATATGATTGTGCACAGTATAAAATCGAAAGTGAGACCGTTTCGACATTTTCTATTTAAATCATATTAAGCAAGAAGTATTATTTGTCTCACTTTTAACTTGCACTATATAATGTCAATTTATTGAGTAACGACCTGCTTTCTTTCTAAGCATAATTACCATTTTTGTCTCACTTTCACAAGTACCGATATCATACCGGACATTCTCAACCATATTGAGAAATTAAAGACAATATTATTATGTATATATATGTTTAACCTATAAATTTTAACAATTACATACTAGCTCTCTACATGCGTGTGCATGATACAATTGTACGCACATGTTAGATACGATCGTGCATAGTACGAAATCGAAAGTGAGACGGTTTCCATATTTTGGACTTGAATCATATTAAGCAAGAATTATTATTTGTCTCACTTTTAACTTTGCACTATATGATATCAATTTATTGAGTGACCACCCGCTTTCTTTCTAAGCATAACTACCATTTTTGTCTCACTTTGCACAAGCACCGATATTGTACCAAACATCCTCAACTGTATTGAGAAATTAAAGACAATATTATTATGTATATATGTTTAACCTATAATTTCTATCAATTACATATTAGCTCTCTACATGCGTGTGCACAATGTTATTGTGCGCGCTTGTTAGATACAATTGTGCACGGTACGAAATTGAAAGTGAGACCATTTTCACGTTTTCAGTTTAAATCATATTAAGCAAGAAGTATTATTTGTCTCACTTTTAACTTTGCATTATATAATGTCAACCTATTAAGTGATGCATGCGTGGGCGAGTGATTCCGGAAATGGGGTTTATGGAGTACGTGTATGGATGAGTGTGTGGTTGTTGGATGTATGTCAATGGGTAAAATATAAATGAAGGATAGATTATGATCGATATCAAGGTATAAAGGACATGTCACTGACCATGGATGAAGAACGGAATCGACAAAATTTACCACCAAGGCTTTGAGGACATACCACCTACCAAGATACAGGACTTCGGGATAAAGAGAAGCTCACCACCGAGGCTTGAAGGAAAATCACCAGCCAAGGATAAAGTGATCCTTAGCTCACCATCGTGGAGTAATCCATTCTCTAATGATAAAGAAACCAAAATAGGAGTTATCCACTCTCCAAAGATATTCGGTCACACTGAGAAAGAACTCATGTATTTTCATTCAACAAGTCTTGTCTTATAATAGAGAACTCTCCTCCTTATATAGAGGGATTAGGACAGAGGAAATAACCAAACATTAAAAAAACACAGGAACTAGAAAGCATTTAAATACCTAGGAACTTAGGACTTTGACTCTTGAAACTTACGTAATAATGAAGACTCGTAAAGACCGAGGAACTTAGAAAGTGCATTGATGATACATAGAAACTATGAAGTGCAATAAAGAAATAGAGATTTGAAATCTTGACTCTTCAACCTCGTAATTTTTCAAAATTCATCCACCAGTCTTGACCTGCAAATAGCCACCTTGGGAAATTGACAAATATAAATGGAAATCGTTTGGAACAACCTGCCACTTTGCACAAGTACCGATATCGTACCCGACATCCTCAACTATATTGAGAAATTAAAGACAATATTATTATGTATATATATATATATATATATATGTTTAACCTATAATTTTTAGTAGTTACATACTAGCTCTCTACACACGCATGTTAAACACAATCATGCATGGTACGAAATCGAAAGGGAGATCGTTTCCACATTTTTTATTTGAATTATATTAAGCAAGAAGTATTATTTGTCTCACTTTTAACTTTGCACCATATAATGTCAATTTATTGAGTAACCACCCACTTTCTTTCTAAGCATATCTGCCGTTTTTGTTTCACTTTGCACAAGTACCGGTACCTTATCGGACATCCTCAACCATATTGAGAAGTTAAAGACAATATTATTATGCATATATGTATATATATTGTTTTAACCTATAATTTTTAACAGTTACGTACTAGCTCTTGACACGCGCGTGCCCGATACAATCGCGTAGGCACGATAGATATGACCGTGCACGATACGAAATCGAATGCGAGGCCGCTCCCGCACTTTTTGATTTAAAATAATTAACAATGCATATATAGGAAATTTTTTTTTTTTGATCTTATCCAAATAAGTTTTCAATAGAGAATTTATGACATCACTTTAAAAGTGGTTTTAGCGCACACGCGTGCGGGGTGCGCGCGTGAGAAGTAAATTCAACACGCGCGGTAGATTTTGAAAAGTACAAAAGGAATGGGACAAAGAAAACTGAGAAATCCGCATTCTACCGTTTTCCCATTTCGAGTTTTTATCCTCTCTCCCTTTCCTTCCCTTCCTTTCCCGCTCGCCCCTCTCCGACCCACGAAGCTTCTTCCCCCGCTGCCGCTGCTGCTCCACCGCTGCCCCGCCACCTCCGCCGCCACCGCCACCGCCGCCGAGCTCCGGCCGCCGCCGCCGCCGCCCGACCCCGTCGGAGAGGGAGCGGGGCTGTCCCCGCCTCTCCGTCCAGCTCCGTTTCCGGCGTGCTCCTTTCGAGCCTGCGCGGTTCTGGACCGGCGGGATCGAGGGGTTTTCTTCGGCGCCGCAGCCCCCCAGGGGAAGCGACGGTTGACGGGGACGACGAGGCCTCCTCGTTCGACGGGAAGCGGCCCCGTCGAGCACCGGCGTGGTCCGCCCTTCTGTTTTCTCCGTTTCTTCTGGTCCGATTGAGTTGCCCGCTGTCAGTGAATTGTGGGGTTGGCTTGTGGTCCACTCCGGCGGAAGTGACGGAGAACTGCTCCGTGGATTTGGGTGAGTAATATCAAATTGTTGTCTTTCGGGTTCGGCGTTTCTTCCTACTTGTTTGCAAGTCAACGTCGGTTCTTGAGATCCACCGAGATGTCTCTACTCTCGCCTTCTGCTTGTGGATTTATGCGAATTGTTCTCGTTTAGGGCTTTTTGGTGGGGAACTGTCGGAGTGTTTGAATGTCACCGTTTTTTTTCAGTTTGACGTAGCACAGTTTGAATGTTTGATGGTGATTGGTTTTGCCATTTGGGTTCTTTATGATTTGTATGACTTCTTTGACTCTTCCAATTTTCGATCTTGAAGTATTCCAGTAAACCGTTGCATTGCACGAACTTTCTTGTGACGTATCTTTCGGACTTAGCATTTGCTTTTGCTCCTATTTGTGCAGAGCATTGTCGTTGGGAAGTCTGGTGCTGAGGCTATTTGAGTCAATGCCCGTCTCTAAGAAGGTTTTTCAGAAGGTTTTGCATTTTTTGTACCCATCCTTGTCGGTGCATGTTGGTTCTAGGCATGCATAGATTTTTTTGCTATGTTGTGAGGAGAGATCTCGAATATCTGAAATTTATTGACGGTTTGATACGAAATGAAGTGCAATGACATAAGAGGGTTTACATAGCTGACCCCACTTAGCAGGATAAGGATTGTTTATCGTCAATGTCCTTGTGACAGCAGTGAAAAATTATTCCTTGACAGGGTATATCCTCTGTAAAATATGATACATCTATTTTATCCTTAATGGATGTCGCACTATCTAGATCTTCATGCTTGCAATTTTTTTCCTGATGTATATTTAAGGACAGTGACCACAGACCATCTTTTGATGATTTTTTATGCCCAAATGAAAGGAAGGTCTGTTGGTCTGTGGTCTGTTTCTCTTTAAGCTCTGATTTGATGTTACTATTGCAATGTATTTGATAGTACTATTTTCTCTTGCATTAGAATTCGGAATGTAGCCAGATCGGGCAAGTGTTTAACACATTGATCAAGCAGATGGGAACTCCAGTGGAGTTTGAACTTCCAGAATGGTTCACTAAGGGGAAGCCCGCACCATACAGTTTTATAAGGCGCAGTATCCACTAGTGAAATGCAGTTATTGCTATGTTAATCTGCACATTTCATGTCTAAATGATTCTACGTACTGTTCGCGGTATTAATTCTAACAATTAAATTGCGTTCAAAAGGTTATGAGGTGGGTACCAATTACTTACAAAATGAGCAATATGAAATTAGAGTGACTTGCAACATTGGCTGCTACCTACCTGTTCGTGATGCTTCTGACAGCGGACTATTTCTTTACAAAATAAGCAGAGCATCACGTGAGTTTAACAGCCGATGAAGGACAAATATGGTCTTCTCTTTGGTTGTTGACCTTGCTCAAATCAACGCTCTTTTACTACTGATGCTGTGGTGACTTAAATGATTCTGTAGTCTAAGCAAAACTGAAAGTTAAATTCCATAACTTCTTACTTCCAGGAAGCATACAAAAAGGTTGTTTGAATTTTGGAGTTCATTTTAAAAATGTTTCATGTTAATTTTTATCACCTCCTAACTTTGTAGTAGATGGGTCACTTTAGTTTTAAAAGAAAAAGACTACTGCATCCTTATCAAGACTAATTAAGGAATTCAATTTTTGGTGTCTGTTGGGAGTTATGCCGCATGGGAGGATAGGAACAGCAAATAGCTCTCTTTTGTCATCTTGGACTGTACTTCCTGCCCAAATCATATTCTATGATGGGAAAAACAATTTAGTTTACTTGGTTGTGGTTCAACTCACCTCCTTCCCTCCCCCTTGTCCACCAATTTCATGGCTGAAACTCATTACTCCCTCGGTTTCCCTCCTTTCCATCTTACTTATTATATTCAGTAGCTCCCCATGGACTTTATTTTGCTGGATTATTCTGCGTGAACTTCCCTTTGGAGTCTCCTGGACATTGTGCTTTGTTAACTTCACTATGGAAGACATATATCTCACAAAGAGGATGAAGAGGCGTCTTGACGATGATGGCATATTTTGCTCTTGCAGCCCATCACCTGGTTCTTCTGTTGTGTGCAATAAAGATTGCCATTGTGGGTAAGAATTCATCCTTCTCTCTGACTTGGGTGCAGTTAAAGCCTTTACTATAGTTGTGATGCTTCTAACTAGTAAAATTTATGTAAGCATATGGTATGTCAAGTCTCATTTTTATTTGTTGCCAGTGCATGTTGACAAATTAATGAGCTACTGATACTTATTTTGACTGTCAAGGTTGATTTATTAAGCAGCTAATCTTGTGGCGATGACATGTTGCAATTATGTGGTACTCTTAGGTGGACAACAAATATGATGGTTTATTCAATACAAGTTTCGTCTTTGGGTTTTCTAATACATCCTTCGGTGTCTATAACCATGAAATGACTTGAAATAATGCGGAGAATTGGCTTGACTAGTTCATCCTCTGGCTTACCGCAAGAGTTAGATGAGAATCTGTGATTTTGAATTGGTTATGCTCATGCAGAATATTGTTTCTTACAATTGGGTGAAGGTGTGCCTGGACTTGACATCGAGCCTCTTTTTCTATTTTCGGTAATGCCCTCTAAAATGCGGAGAGGTGCAATAGCCTTCCTATCCTATATCTAAGGATCATGATCCTTAACCAACCTGACCTGGGTTGCAACTGCCAAGTTTGCTAATGATTATTTGTATCATCCATTTATAGTCGGCTACCTTTAAGAACAATAGGTGTCTTTGGGCAGTATATGGCTAATGATCATCTGCAAACCATAAATTATTTACTCAATGTGAATTTATGAATTAAAGGTGAATGCTTTTCTGTATACAGGATGCTGCTCTCTAGCTGCTCCTCAGGATGCAAATGTGGAAGTTCATGCATTAATAAACCATTTCAGAATCGGCCGATGAAGAAAATGAAACTTGTGCAGGTATGCCTGGTATGCCAGGTGATTATAGGAGCATGGAAGATGATCTTATAGTTGCCAACAGGAAATTTACCAATGCTATTAAGTTATTGAACTCATTTAGAAGGCAACCGGATATGTTCAACTCTGCTATTTTCCACGACCTAATTCTTGCAGTGGATTGGTATAGCTCAAGGATAAAAGTGGGCCCACGTTTGGGATTAAGAATTTTGCCATGGACTATATTGTGTACTTTATTTAGACATAACTCAGCAGACAGGTATAATTACCAGTTTGCTTAATGTTGAAAATGATATATTACAATTGTTGCTGCCCATTAAGGGTAATTTCCTTGTTTTGCTGCAGGTTATTAAATCTGTTGTTATATCTGCTCTTCTGCATGATGGCAAAAAAGTTTTTTTTTTAAAATTTTCCATCTTGATTGTTTTAACAGTTCCATTATACTCAAGTCTTGTTAATTTTTCTTAGAGCAGGCGTTGTTCTTTCATGTCTATCAACCTAGCGGAACTGCTTGGTCATATGTTCTATTTTCTAACCTGCAACTACTATGCTTTCTTCATAAGCTATGTGATAATGCTAAAATTAAGTTATGCATGGGTGTAGACTGAAAAATGCGGTTCCGGAATAGTAGCTGATGAAGATATCAAGCAAGGGGAGTTTGTCATTGAATATGTTGGAGAAGGTAAGGCTTTGGAGTTGCTGCTGAAGATTGTATGTTCTTTGGAAACTAAAAATTGTAAAGACTCTATTCGGACTTTTTGTTCCTTTTGGTTATTATTTTATGCCAAAACTGTTTCTCTACAGCTTGCCTGCTTCCAAGAATATAGAAATGATAATTTTAGTTATTCCAACTTTTGATTTTTGAGGAAACAAAAAGTAAAAATAGGCATACCATAGATATCAATTGTTAGTCTGAACTAGCAATATAAGAAGAAAGTTGATTGTTTTCACTCTAAAAACTATATTTAAAGTACAATATCTTAGTGTACTTTTGTATGTGAAAGCTGCTGCGGAAGATTTTTATGTTTTATCTTCAGAAGCAAAGTTTTAAGAACAACTTCTCAAGATCTCTGCCAGATAAGTTGTAACTTTTGGCTATCATCTGTTTATTTTACCAACTCAGAGTGTCTTCTTGGGTATGCCTTTTGAACTGACCTCTTTAAATAAACCAATTGCTTAAAAGATTAAGCAGCATGTTGATCTTCTTTGATGCAGTCATTGATGACAAAACTTGTGAAGAAAGGCTTTGGAGTATGAAACATCGGGGTGAAACAAATTTCTACTTGTGTGAAATAAATCGAGATATGGTAATCGACGCGACATACAAGGGAAACAAGTCGAGATATATCAACCATAGTTGTTGTCCCAATACTGAGATGCAGAAATGGTTTTCCACTCATTCTTTTTCCTTGCTTGTATTCCAGTTTGCTCATAAGAAAATATGGTCCATGTTAAACTTTTTCTTTACAGGATAATTGATGGTGAGACAAGAATTGGTATTTTTGCAACTCGCGACATCAAAAAGGGCGAGCATCTTACCTATGATTATCAGTAGGAACACTTGCACTCTGCTTTGGTGTCATATTAGGAACTTCCTGTTTTTCTGTGCTATTTTGTACGAATGCTCTTAATTTTCTTAGATTCTTGTAGCATTCTAATATGTCTAGCAGGTTTGTTCAGTTTGGTGCAGATCAAGATTGTCACTGTGGCGCTGTAGGTTGTAGGAGAAAACTTGGTGTCAAGCCTAGCAAGCCTAAGATGTGTTCAGAAGCAGCATTGAAGTTAGTAGCATGCCAGGTTGCAGTGTCCTCTCCCAAATTGGAAGGAGTCGTATCCAGAAATGATGTATGTACATGCCACTCGTTGGTGATAAATTCTTGTAGCACTTTGCGCATTCTCCTAGTTTATGTGGGCTTAAGTTTGAGATTTTGTGAAATTGTATGTGGGGAATTCAAAGTTCAGGGAAGAGGAGCATATTGTGGATGCCCCTTTGAAATATGGATATATGGACCATGACAAGAAAAAGGAGGTTGTCTTAGTAGCATGGAAATAGATTGTCTTTGACCAAATGATGACAACGGACGTGGAAATTGTGAAAATAGATGAAAAATGTCAAAGCTGAACCTCAAGAATAAGACTGCAAAAGGGAAACATGAAAGAGTTAGCGAGATAGGGAGAACGTAGACAAGCTTACGATGCAAATGGTATTAATATGTTTATATTTGTTGAGTGATGAGAAGCTCACTGTTGGCCAGAGATGAGATCAGGAGAAGGTTAAAAGAGAAGAGGGAGATGGGTAGGAGAGCTCTACCTGGTGCTTTGTAATAAGTGTCTTGATCCGTTATCAGGGGTTTAATCAGGTGGATTTTGTCTGCATCTTGGTCTTTTCCCATGAACATGGCCTGGGCTGAAATAAAATTTAAAGGAAGATTTGAGCTATCCGGCTATAAGCAAAGACACAACTGCTGTTTCTGAAGAGTGGTTCTCTTTGCAAAGTATATCCTACCCTGAGTTTACTTAGATAGTTTGAACTTCTAGTGAATAATTGAATCTGTCTTGGAGGATAAAGCATATATATATATATGCGAGAACGGTCATGAACAATAATGGTTTGTAACTTAGTGTAATTTAAGATCAGATGGTAAAATAGGATGTCTTTGGATATCTTGCTGATTGGGTCCAGAATCTGTATTGAGATGTCAAACTCGAGAACGACATTTCTGAAGTTCTCCTGCTTCTACGTTCTGCTTTAAAAATTCTTCTGTAGAGTGTAGATACAGTAGGGAAGAAGATGGACAATGTAAATTTTTTTTCCTCCTGCTGCATAGTTCTCACTTTGGCCTTTGGCAGTCTTTCAATTGGTTGTTAAAAGATAGAAGAGTTTGACTTTTTTTGTGCATCTGATTTATATTTGTCCATCCATATTATCTTAGTATCTGTCTATTCACGTTGTTTTATTGATAAAATAGCTTTGGCATCTTATTTTATTCTCTTTTCTGGAGTTGTATCTCTTGAACTTCTCTCCAAATACGTCTTTTCACCTTTTGTTGTTGATTATATTGTGTACATTACATTTTGCACTAGATTAGACCATAGACTGACTGCGTATTATTGATTTTGGAAGGTTTATCAGAATGGATGTCTGCGTGCAGGTGTGCTAACTTTTCTCTATATATTTTTGTATGAGCTTTCAAATCGCCATCATCCATTTTCACAAGTTGATTTTCTTTCTATTAGAAAATTCACGGTACATTCGCTGTCAACGATCTCCTCACAGTTGCGTAGGTGAACTTGTCAGAATTACTCGTCCAATGAATGAGAGGTTGGTTAGTCTTTCCTTGATCCAGTTTTACTCAATCCGTTCTCTTTTAATTGATTTATTCTCTTTTTATTTCCCTTGTCTGCAATGACAAAGGGGTGAAATTTCAAAGTGTAATATATGACAGCCTGGTGAGGTTTATTCGTTTTCTACTGTGTTTCCTCATGTAAATTTTGTCTGATTTGATCTCCAGGACTTTTGGGATTATCAGACGCTTTGATAACTTCTCCAGGAAACATTCTGTAAGATTAAGTCCCTTTTAGTATGATGAAATTTAAGGCATTATCTCATATGAAACCACTTGGTTGCTACAGATAATGTTTGAAGATGGTGCTGTTGAATTTCTTGATATGTCTAAAGAAGATTGGGAATTTGTGACTTTGTAACCATATGTGTCGGTAAGCATTCTACTTAGCCCTATTACTATTATGCTATCTGTATTTCTGGGTATACAATTTTTTATGGCATGTAATTGGTATTTCCTGGCCTTAATTTTTCCAAGTGCATGCTTCCCATGTTAAGTAATTTCTAGAATAAGGAACTGATAATGTATGGGAAACAGATTCTTCATGATTGATAAATATCTTTGTGGCAATGAAGTTAAGCAATACGTTTGAGATGACAAAATGAAGAAGCCTCTGGCATTTTAACCCACAAAAAGGACGCCGATGCAGCTGCAGAGATCTTTTGTCTGAAAATGGTTCATAATTCTGCAATGAGATTCTGCTTTATTGCTAATGCTAGTTTTTGGATGCAGAATGTCTTGGTTGCTGAGATGTCGTTTAATTGATTATATACTGTGTTGCTTGGGCTTGTCGCTCACCCCTACTGTACGGTAGCATTGTCAACGCTGCACTAGTGTTGTTAGGTGATTTGGGTCCACTAAAAAAACCACTAGAACTCGTATGTTATTGAGGAGGCCAAATATTGGTCCATGTGGTTAATATTCTTGGTCAGTGTGAACTTCTGCAAGGGAGAAGCTAGAAAGAAATTTGTGGTCTTTGGTAGAAGCAGTGAAACAACCTCCATTTCAATTAAATTTATGACGCATAGGTCCGTTACCTCTATCTTCACGTGTAGATTACTATGTCTAGAGTGTTCATAGACAATCCATGAACTATGCTATATTTGACATATAACGTGCACCGTAATTTATATCTAAAGCAATCTATTCTTCCATTCTAAAGAGGTAGTTTAACTTGCTTCGAAATGCTTCCGCGTCTGACTGTCTCTGGCATTAATGTATGGAGGAAGTTCCTTTCTCTTGGTCTTATGTTGCTCCTCTTTCTGATAGTCGGTTAATTGTACGAGTAAATGCACAACTGTTGCTTTTTGTGTTTCCTCATAATGCTTAAAGTTCGTCCTGCACATGCCTGTTGCTGATTGGAGCATGCTGTTCTTCCGGCGGCCGCTTGCTGCTGCGGATGGGCTAACCTTTTTGAGCTGAATTTCAGGTTGCGGACCGGTCGAGGTCGACGATGCTCAAAACCAGCTCCTCATGCTACCTGTAATAAGGGTGTGGATCAATCGTTCTGGCAGGAAACACAAGAAATGCGTCCAAGATAAAAATCACATCCGTTTCTCCCTATCTCCCTCTGGCGGATCATTCGCAAGAAATGTTGTTGTATCAGTTGTGTAACAATTCAAATTACTTCGGTTATCATTGTTAACTTTCGATTCCGGCAACATGGTTTCTGATTCGATCGAGCCGGTATGTGACATTAGCTGAGAGAACAATAATGGATCAGAAAGTTGTTTCCGTGCTGTGATGCATCTGCAATTTTATTCCTCTCCGGGCTTGACCTTTTCCCATTGAGTTGAACACGAAGCCTCATTGCCTGTTTGACCCAGTCGCACATTGCCTGTTTGACCCGGTCGCACATGCCGCTGATTCTCTCTTGCAGCCTCTCTCTCTGTCTCTCTCGAAGGGGGAAGGTGGGTTGGTGTTCCAACAACCCCGGAGCACAATTCTCAAATCTTCTTTGGGGGGTGGGTAGCGGGGGACGAAATGATGGCCGTGCCGGTTCCACGTGAGCTCGCACCGCGTGAACCTTTGGATGAGGTGAGACATGTCCGATCGAACCGTAGGCGCGAGCCGTGCTCGCGTGATTCAGATGTACCGTATACTTTCTCAAATGTTGGGGGGAGACCGTGGATCTCGTGGAGTTACAATATTTGTAGAGTTCTTTTGTTCCTTTCCACCATGGCTCGTGACCAACTTTACAGCTAACATGTGGTTGGTGGTGGCGACGTTGTCAGAGACTTGCCTCGCACATGATAAGCGTGCACGTTGTATCTTATTTGGCCCATTCGGTTTTTACCTTTTTACTCGCTGAGGCCAAAATTAATTGGCAGGATTTTTTGAATTTTAAAATTTTCAAAATGATAATATTTTTTTTTTCTTTCAACTTTTCCTCCCATCAAATCTTCAAAATTTCGTAAATGGGCCTGACCAATTTTCCACCTCGGGCGATGCGGCGACCCCCCAGATCCGACTGCCGGCATCGGGCGGGGGTCGTGCCTCCGGCTATGGTTGCCGGTGCTAGATTTGGCTTGCCGGCGAGCTCAGCTCTTCCACACGTTCAGCGGCGAAGGTTTCGAGTTTGTTTTTTATTTTTCATAAATAGCAAAAGTTATTGTGATTTTTCCAAGCATCAAAATTTACTTCCTTAATGGACTTACTGCTCCACACGTTTTCCTATTGTTCTTTTCTTCGCGTTGTCGCCACGCCGTCGCACGTCGTGCAACTGCACCATGTGCCTGTGCATTTTTGAGCAGTATAAGAATGCATAGGACATTGCTCCCATCGTTCACATTCCTCCATCTCTCCGTCTCCCTCTCCGGCTCTCCCCGTGTCGGTGGCGCGTGATCTTCACGTCCATTACTCGCATTGAGGGTGGGGGAAGATGAAGGTGATAGAGAAGATCAGCGAGGCCTTCGCGGAGCGCGGCGGAGGCGGCGGCGGGGCCGATGCCGACGGCGGCGAGCGAAAGAAGGGGGAGGTGGTGTTCTCGTTCGAGTTCTTCACGCCGAGGAAGAAGGCCGAGGTCGACGGCCTGCTGGGCATCATCGGCCGCCTGGTGGCCCACGGGCCGGCTTTCTGCGACCTCACGTGGCGGTCCGGCAGCTTGGCCACCGACGACCTCACCCTGGACGTGGTGGGGAAGATGCAGAACGTGGTCCGCGTGGAGACCATGATGCACCTCACCTGCACCAACATGCCCGTCCCGAGGATCGACCGCGCGCTCGAGAGGATCAAGTCCGACGGCATCCAGAACGTGCTGGCCCTCCGCGGCGACCCGCCGACCGGCCAGGACAAGTTCGTCCCGGTCCCGGACGGCTTCGCCAGTGGGCTGGACTTGGTAATTAAGGGCTGACAATGCATGTCCACATGTCGAGTTGGGATTATTGAATACGTTTGACTCTTGCCATTGCAAAACTGATGGCATTTCCACCGAACGTGCTCAAAGTCTGATTCGTTGTGAATTCATCTCAATGATTGACGGCTTCATTTACACATGCAACGCCCTAACATTTGGAACTTAGAAAAGAGAAATGCTATCCGTTTTTCTGTCATTCCCAAGTATGGCCCTTGACTTGTGCTGGAAGCTCCAAATCATATGGAACATTATATGCTTTTGATACCTTGCTTTGTATGTGGTTTTGTATTGTTCTTGAAAAATTGGTTTAGAAACCCTGACAAACCGGATTGGCTGCGGTAGCCGCCCTTGTATTATGTTGCTGTTTATTCCTGCTACTTATTTTGTTCTGGATCTGCTTGGTTATAAACGCAGGTGAAACACATCAGAGCCAAATATGGGGATTACTTTGGCATTACTGTTGCTGGCTATCCAGGTTAGTCAATCTGCTCTACTCAGTTGTTACCTTTAAAGCTTGCATATTTCCCTTTGTTTCATTAGTTGTGACCATGATATCATAATACACTGTTGTTTAATGTGATCAGAGGGCCATCCTGATGTCATAGGAAGCAATGGCGTGGCCTCTGATGAGGCTTACCAGAATGAGCTCGCCTACTTGAAGCGAAAGGTTCGGTTTCTTCGGTGAATGTTACTGTTGTACGTGTCACATTTGGTGCCGATTCGTGCATACGGTTTTTTCATGTTTCCCCCGGTTCTTTTTGTAGGTGGATGCTGGAGCGGACCTCATAATCACTCAACTGTTTTTCGACACCGATATTTTCCTCAAGTTTGTGAACGACTGTCGCCAAGTCGGAATAACTTGTCCCATTGTTCCCGGCATCATGCCGATTGCCACCTATAAGGGCTTTGTGCGCATGACCAGTATATGCAAGACAAAGGTTACAGTCACCTTCTTCTTTATGTTTTTGTGATATATCTGCTCTTCTAGTGCTTTCAGTTATTGCTCGTGTTTACATGGTTTCAGGCAATTGGTACCCTGCATAGGAATTGTAATAGTTCAAACGAATGGACATGGACATTTTAGCAGCTTCTTCCCATATAAGCATGCTTAAATCATATTCTTTCTCAGGCTATGGCTGAGGAAAAGTGATGTTGACTAGTGTGACTTAAAGATGATAATCAAGTTATATAATGCATGAAAACAGGACGCTCGACTCCTAAGTTGGGGAGGAGGGTTAATGATGCTATGCGGAATCAGTTAATTTGTTGATTCTGCTAGTTTTGTGATCACTAAATGTTTCAGTAAAAATGTTGCAGGTACCAGCTGAAGTCGCCGCTGCTTTGGAACCGATAAAGCATAATGATGAAGCTGTTAGGAACTATGGAATTCACCTTGGAACAGAAATGTGCAGGAAGATTTTGGCTAGTGGAATCAAGGGTCTACATCTTTACACCTTCAACAAGGAAGTGTCGGCTTTGGCGATACTAATGGTTGTTCCTAATTCCCTTCGCTTGTTTAGAGATTTTGACATTGACAGTCCAGTAAGTTTTGTGGCTTTTATACTAACTTGCACTTCACATTTCAATCAGAATCTTGGCTTGATTGAAGAGGTCAGAGTTTCAAGGTCTCTTCCCCAGAGACATCCTGCAAGAGTCCTTCCTATTGAGGAAGATCGACACCCGAATTCTAGTACTATGGAGGCCGAAAAACAGTTTTAGCATCAGTCCATTGGTAGACAGGGTGTGGTTCTTCGATGCAACTAATTATTGGCGTCTCATTATAGGGCAAATTGTCCAAAGTGCTAACATTTCAAGGACCACAGTATGGGACCAATGCCCTCTCAAATCGGGTGATCAAGGAGCAACTAGGACTGGAGAGGGTCTCGTTCCAATTCAGGTCATTGTATCATTAATGTACTTAAAAAGAAATATCAAGTTATAGAGGAAGTTTACATTCATTTACGAGTAGAGATATGTATATTTCATGTGATGATTAACCTAATGTGGAAAACTTTCCCAAGATTCTCTGTTGCATCAAATTTCTGTTGACAAGAGATATTTATCATTGTCGTGATTCGTGAATCTCTTAGCATGGTAAACTTTCTTTTGGAAAACGAAATATCGAAATCTCTGTTCGGTGAGGTTACGATAGGAATAGCATTATTATTTTGTTCAAGAGTGTGATTATATTAATGACGTACAAATGCATGGCATTGTCTTGTTGAATCTCAATTCCATGAACTTCGTCTCTGATTTTGTCGATGACTCCGGAAATCACCATGTCTGCAGTGCAGACCCAACAAGTTTTCCAATATGATTGGACACAAAGCCATATATATAACCGTTGACCAGTGGCAATCTGATTTCTTCAAGCCTAATCAGTTGAATCCCACTCTGTCTCGGTCTCTCTCTTTCTCTCGTACTAATTATATTTTTGTTGGAGTAAAAACATCGGTCAGCCAAAAAACCGGAGGTTTGGTGTACTGGGGCCCTCTCCAACAACCCCTGATCCAAGCACTCTGATTCCAAGGTTTTGGTGGTGGTTAGGGAGAGCCGTGGGATTTGCCATACACGTTTGTCCTGCCTACATCTAGACTCAAACCTTGACTTTAGCAAATTAATGGATTTGTTCTTTTCCTCAGGATCATTCTTGCGAGAGTTTGATTTGCGTGCTCTTGTAATTTACTCGGTAGATTCTGTGATGATTAGCAGAACTTTTCGCAGGGCGATTCGGTCAAGCATGTTTAGCGTAGCCTAGTTCTCGGACCGAACGAGCTCCGATGCGTCCATTCCGCACAGACTTATCTTAATTTGATAAGAGCCAGTTAGCTTTTGGAGTATTGTCATCTCCCTGAGACACGCAAGCAGAGATGGTAAGGAAGGATAAGAGTTGGGGTTGGTGACATTCCGAAAGCCCATCTCAGGTCCACATATAACCTACATCTGAAGGTGGAAAAATGGAAGCTGTGAAATCTCATGGCAAGAAGAAGAAGTGGGGACCCATCCTAGAACCCAAATCTCTCAAAAGGGTGCTCTGATCCTGGCTTTCGGTTGTTGAAACCGGAATGAATCTTCGACTGGGTGCATCTAAAAAAGATTAAAAATTCAACCTTTTTTCTTTTGGTCGAATAAAAATTCAATCTTTTTTTTTTTGGGTCGAATAAAAATTCAATCTTTAACCCAGCTACAAATGGGAACGAAGCAGCCACTGTAACGCAATGAAAGTTGGTGTTTGTGCGGGGGCGGTGTCCGTGGAAAAAAGTCGAGCTTTGAGGGGAGGTGAAGATGGTGGTTGGGCGATGGTTGTGTTTTTGGGTGTAGTGCTGTGGGCCCTCTCACCAACTCTCTCTCTCTCTTTCGCAACAGCGAGTGTCATCATCTTCTCTCCCTCATATTTATAGAGACTGAACCTCAGATCTCATTTCGTCCTCTGTCTCTGTTCTCTCTCTCTCTCTCTGTTTCTCATCCATTGATGCGCGAGGCAGAGTAGTCCGCCAACCTCAGCCTCTGGATCGCATTCCCACCGCCGCATATCCCTCTCGCCCTGTCGGTGCTCCCTCTATTTCACCCCCCCCCGGACGACCCACCAGATCCCGCTCGTTTGAAGGAGCGCAGCAATGAAGGTGATTGAGAAGATCAGAGAGGCGGCCGGCGTGTGCAACGGCGGCGGCGGCGGCGGCGGCGGCGAGGGGAAGGTGGTGTTCTCGTTCGAGTTCTTCCCGCCCAAGACGGAGGACGGCGTGGACAACCTGTTCGAGCGGATGGACCGGATGGTCGTCCACAACCCGGCCTTCTGCGACATCACCTGGGGCGCCGGCGGGTCCACCGCCGACCTCACCCTGGACATCGCGAACCGGATGCAGAACATGATCTGCGTCGAGACCATGATGCACCTCACCTGCACCAACATGCCCGTCGAGAAGATCGACCACGCCCTCGCCACCATCAAGTCCAATGGGATCCAGAACGTCCTCGCCCTCCGCGGCGATCCCCCGCACGGCCAGGACAAGTTCGTGCAGGTCCAGGGCGGGTTCGCCTGCGCCCTCGACTTGGTTCGTCCCTTCCTTCTTTTTCTTGTGCATTTTTGGGAGTTTGTAGTTGATGCGCTTACGCTTTGCTGGTTTCGCAATGTGGGATCTAGATTTTTGAATGCGTTAGATCGTCCAGTGTCGTCCCGATTTTGTTCTGGATCTTGCTTACTTGTTAGGAGTAAAATGCAGGTGAAACATATCAGAGCCAAATATGGAGAGTACTTCGGCATTACTGTTGCTGGCTATCCAGGTTGTTTAATTTGCTCTGCTCTATCCACTCGTTTCCTGAAAATCTTATGCTTTTGATTGGTTTTGTAAGCATAATGTGAGAATGTAACGTCTTGCTATTTTGTGCGATCAGAGGGCCATCCGGATGTCATAGGAAACGATGGCGTGGTTACATTGCAGGCTTACCAAAATGAGCTTGCCTATCTGAAGAGTAAGGTACGGCAGCATCACGCCAATCTGGATCGATCTAGTGGTCGTATAAGTTTGTGAGTTCTATGGGCGTGTGTTCATGTTTCCAATGATTTTGTGTAGGTGGATGCTGGAGCAGATCTCATCGTTACTCAACTGTTTTATGACACTGATATTTACCTCAAGTTTGTGAATGACTGTCGCCAAGTTGGAATCCATTGTCCTATTGTTCCTGGCATCATGCCAATAAACAATTATAAGGGCTTCATTCGCATGACTGGTTTCTGCAAAACAAAGGTGTGTTACTTTCGTCTGTATGTACTCCATTTGCTCTTCTGGTGCTAATGTTTTTAGCTGTAAGGAAAAGAGCCAACCTTATCATACTTGGTAATATTATTGTGGTGTGAATTTCTTTTTTTAGATTGGATGAGAGGGAGAGAGGCAACCCTTAACTCGGTTGAAAAAAATCAAAAGAAGATGATAATCATGATGCAATGCAGAATTAAGTATTTGCTGATTTTTCCAGTTCTATTTTCATCAAATGTTTGAATGGGGTATGTTGCAGATACCAGCTGAAATAACTGCTGCCCTGGAGCCAATCAAGGACAATGAAGAAGCTGTTAGAAACTACGGAATTCACCTTGGAACTGAAATGTGCAAGAAAATTTTGGCTAATGGAATCAAGACCCTACATCTTTACACGCTCAACATGGAGAAGTCGGCATTGGCTATATTAATGGTTGTTCCTATATCCTCAATCCTTTAACAATATTTACATTGTTGGAGTAGCTTTGATCTCTTCAGGCTTTTACTAACATATACCATGTATGACATCAGAATCTTGGCTTAATTGAGGAGGCTAAAGTGTCAAGGTCTCTTCCTTGGAGACGTCCTACAAATGTCTTCCGTGTTAAGGAAGATGTTCGGCCCATATTCTGGTACAATATATGGATGAGAAATTTAGTGCTAGTTTATATGTAAAGTAGGGATTATTATTCGTATGACGGGATGATTGGGCTATGGCAGGGCAAATCGTCCGAAGAGTTATATTTCAAGGACCATGGGGTGGGACCAATACCCTCGTGGAAGATGGGGTGATTCCCGGAGTGCAGCGTATGGGACACTGACTGACTACCAGGTATAGCATGCCATCAATTATACATGTGGCTGGTTTTGGACAATTGTTGAATTAGTAGAAAGTTCTTGTCGTACTTTTTTGTTACTACTTGAGCATTTAATATTGGTATTGTCTCTTCATAATTTTTTTGATACCGGGTTCGTTTGATGACAATGGAAATTATACTTGAGCATGTGGTTTGTTTGTCAATGTGTTAAATGTTTTTCTATATAAGCTTGAGTTGTGTCATGCGCGGGTTTTACTCCTGTTTGGGTGTTTTTCTTTTGCTGTGTTATTGGTGTGTGCCCAACCTCCTTGGTGTTGTGGGCGGGAGGGAGGGAGGATTTGACGTCTCTTCACATCTCTCTTCCTGTCTTTGCTCATGCTTTATGGCCTTTTAGTACTGATGTGTTGATGACTTGTTTATTAGTTCTTCGATCTGTCTCTTAGAGTTCCTATGGATCTGCTAATTTAGAAGGACTTACTCTTCCTTGTGATTTCCCTTTTTTACAATGTTTGTTGTGCTTTAAAGATATATACAGTTATGCTCTCTAAGTGGCACTAACCATTCTGTAAATTGTCCTTTTCGGGTACCAGTTCATGCGTCCACGTGCCCGTGATAAGAAACTTCATGAAGAATGGGTTGTTCGCTTGAATAGTGTCGAAGATGTTCATGAGGTGAAATTGCCATATCTTTAATTGTTCCTTTTTGTTTCTGAATTATAAGAACATATCAGGTCTGAATTTATGTATTTTGTATTATTGTGCACCAGAAATTTAAGAAATTCTGCCTTGGGAAGTTGAGAAGTAGTCCATGGTCCGAGTTGGATGGCATTCAGCCAGAGACGAGAATCATTAATGAACAACTGGGAAGAATTAATTTGAAAGGTTTCTTAACAATTAACAGCCAACCAGCGGTTAATGGGGAAAGATCTGATTCTCCTTCTGTTGGTAAGAAGACATTCCATGGTGTTTCTTTGTGTTCCCTGCTTATCATTGTTTCCTGATAAATTGAGCTGGTAGAAACCATGATTTTACATCTATAGATAATGGATTATGAACCATAGAGAAGAAGATTAGTTGCACCCAGAAATTCTTTGAATTGGTTCGGTTTTTAAGTACGAATTTTTTTAAGGTAGTTACGTGCATTTAGCTGTGAATTTGTCTTAGACAATCATAATGCTTCAAGCCATTATTTGTTGATGTTGAGTTGTCCTTCTGTTGTATTGTCTCGTTACTGTGCGAAGTTCAATCTGAAATTATGAGCAATTGCTTTTGTAGTAACTATGCTTAGTATGGAGATTATGAGATACAGAGGAAAATTTTTATTTCGTGAGAAGATTTTGAGAGAAATATATTGAAATAACGAATTTGAGATGCGTTGGTAGAATCTGGATCTGTGAGAGGGCTTACATGCAAAGGGGTAAGATAGGGCTAGTAAGCGATAAGCTAAACATATTAGAGAGATTTCCGGGACGTGGTAGATCTTATTCAGGACATGCACTTTGTGAGGTCGAAGAATACATGACATCGTGTAAAAAAAAATCTAGTGAAAAAAGTGCCTGGTTTTTCTTACTTTTTGAGAATTGGCTCTCTGTGTTTAGCAAACTTAAGAAGCTTAAAACATCTTAAACCTTGGAGTGTTACTAGAGAAACTTAAGTTATGAATGATTCTTCCATAGATGTTCATGCTGTTTCTGCATCTGTTATTAAGTAGTCAAGGGACTACTTCACATTGCTTGAGTTCAGTTTGCTTAATGCTTGTCAATTGTCATTGTTGTGGTCAGACAAAAGAAGATGATCATGTCTAAGGCCTTTTCTTTTTCCGAAGAAAACTAGATGCTCTAGGGATGCCAATCACTATGTTCTTGTGTCTTTCTCTTGCCATTCTTACACCACGCGACTGATGTTTTTGGCGCGATTCTAATTCAGGATGGGGTGGGCCTGGGGGTTACGTGTACCAGAAGGCCTATCTGGAGTTTTTCTGCTCTCCAGAAAAATTGAACACCCTCGTGGAGAAATGCAAGGGATTCCTGAACCTGACCTACATGGCCGTTAACAAAGAAGGTGACAAATGGATATCCAACGTCGGGGAATCCGATGTGAATGCGGTGACTTGGGGAGTCTTCCCGGCAAAGGAGATTATCCAACCGACAGTGGTTGATCCAGCCAGCTTTTTGGTCTGGAAGGATGAGGCATTTGAAATCTGGTCGAGGGGATGGGCTCGTTTGTACCCCGAGGGTGACCCATCCCAAAAATTGCTGCAAGAGGTTCGCGCACTCTCATCATACATGTCTTTCGTGTATAGACCATGTCATTTACCTGCCTGTGCATTCTCTCGTATTTTTTTGTCTCTCCCTCCTTTTTTGGAACTTTTACGATAACAGCAGATTCTTTATCTTTGCAGATACAGAGCACTTTCTTCTTGGTAAGCTTGGTAGATAACGATTACATGAAGAGCGATTTGTACGGTGTGTTTGATGATATATGAAGCGTGCTGCTTACTGCTATCGAGTTGCAGTGGAGGTGCCTGTAGTTTAATTTCCTCAAGGAGATTGTTGTGGGAATAACCTGTTGGGGTTCTGGTATTGCAATTTTACCACACAAGTTGTAATCTAGATAGTCCAGCAGATGATTTTTCTTTCAATTCTTAGAATGTTATATCGATTCATAATTTTTCTCGGTCTCGTATGCTTATATGTAGTTCAGGTTTTGTTCGTCGTATCCAAAGTAGTCCATCAGTATTCTCAGCATGAACGATGCGGAGTATGTATATCGATGACAATGATAATGATATGTTGTGAAATCAGTTTACAGCGACATTTCCTTGGATTCGAGAAGGTTCTAGTCCGTCAAAGCATCGAACATGTAAGCACCCGAATGTGAGGGTCTTCCGTCGCAGCTTAAGGAACTTTTGTGCTATAAAAACTGGTCAAAAAGCCTGTATTGACACGAAATAAGCACAGGAAAATGCCACAAAAATTGCCTCATCCCCCAAACTAAAGTCGATAAGCCAAAATCCGACTGCTTGAAGCATCTTGCTTCCTCATCATTGCCAGCATCAAGTTCGCATCTTCATTCAAAATCATTCTGTCCTTCGAAAAATGGCAACCCTCTGCCTGTAACGTACGTTCATGAAAGAACTGAAGAAAAATATCAAATCTAGTCCTCTAGCACTTTACAGTATGATGATATTAGCTGATAGGATGCTACTGCTCATTATTCAAAAGAACAGGACCAGAATGAGAAGCACATTGCCATACACAGTCCAGATATATTGGCATTCTTCAGAGATTTGCATACTACTGCACCTAGAGATGTCCGCATGAAGTGATCTCCGAGCACAGCATTACAGGAAGCATCGGTCTTCAAATGGGGCTGGACTGACTCCCAAATCTTTTTCTTTTGAACCTGAAAATTTTTTGTGCAGAACGATCAACGAAAAGGACACCAGATATTGTCATGCCTTCAATAATATTTTTTTTTTTTTTGGGTTTCTTGCTCATTATAATGACTCTTTGAATATTTGTGTTATTGTGAGTGCAGGAATGTCGTACTTCACAAATAAAAGAAGCATGCGATGGGAAAATCCTACTACATTTTCAACATAGCCTTTTCTAATCGAAAGCTTTTTGCTTTTTGAGCTTTAAAAGCTTTTCAAGCTTCTCTGATTGCTAGTACTTTAGATAATGTAATTACTACTGGACAGGATGTTTCGGGACACAAGGCAAGATCAACTGATGTCACAGTAACAGGTTTACCCCTCCGGCTGTCGGCCGTGCGGGGGGTTCCTGGGTCATAAAAAAAAAAAAAACTGATGTCACAGTAAAACTATGGCAAGAATGTGCAATTACATGACAACAATAAACCTACAAACCTTCAACGTAGGCTTTTCTAATTGAAAAACATGGGAATTGTTCTCTCTTGGAATGCAAGTAACAAAATATTAATGCAAGGGGGTAAAAAAAATGTTGTAAGACAAGCTATTTTATTCCGAGATTGATGTCAAAAGGGGAAGATACTAGCATAGCGATATGCAGATGATCAATGAACAGTCTGGAAGCATTACAAACAAAAGCAACTAAAGTACTCAGCGAGAGAAGGAAGAATGAACAAATAAACAAGATGAAAACAAACAGGTCTTCAGAGCAGACAACTATAATAACAATCAGCTAATGACTTTTAGTACTAGTTAACAGGCAAGAAAACTAGATATCGAAAGCTCCAAGAAAAGTCCTCTGAGTCAAAAAGGAATTAAAAGGACCCTTCACCAACTCCCGCAGGTTTGAAAATGAGATTTAATTTAGTTGAGACATCCGAAGGCAAGATTCCCGAAAACATTAAGGTCAATGATATCACATGCTTAGTCTTCCCAGTTTTACTATGAGAATTGTAGGAACTTTGGCATTGATATTTTATTTTTGGGTTCTAACAAATGAGCTAGTAGTAGGGCTATTCCCCCTACTTTGTTTTCTGTTTAAGATCACTCACTCATATTCAAAAAAGTAAAAAAGAAATCACAGGTCACATTATAGGTAATGGGCAAAAGGTTTAAGAATGCTTCTCAGAGTTGAAATCTGGCTCCTGGAAGGCCTATGTTTCAGACCGATCAAGACGAACACCACTTAAAATGAATCAACTAGCTCAACAACCAGATTGTTATGCACAAAAAATAGCGCATTCAATTAAATGATGCTTATGGTACTTAAATTAACACCAAACTATAACCAGAAAAAGTAGTGCTCTGGTGATATACTAATTGGCAGGTCAATGGCATTAATCCTAAGCTAATTCAAGTTCCTTTAGTCGGGCTGTAATGACCATGATAATGGTCAAAGGTGGACTCAAGCAGAGGCTGAAATTTTGTGGGGAACGGTTGACCACACGGTCAACGGCCCACACATCACAAGATATATCTTTTAGAAAATTATACTATAACAGTGTGAAAACAAAAAAGAGAGACTACTTGACGATTGTAATGCATCATGCATATACTCTCAGGGATAGTACATAGAAAAGTACCTGATTAGGTGTTGCAGGAGGAGGTTGATTTTCTTTTTCATCTTCTGAGCCAAACCAAATTCTCTCACCAGGCATCGAGCCTTCAGGAGGCAAAAGAAGCTCGACATTTTCATGAGATGCATCAGAAGCAGCCAGAAGCATTCCATTTGATTTAACTCCACGCATATTCCTTGGCTTCAGATTTGCTAGCACAACTACATTTCTGCCCTGCAAATTTTAAACAAACATCATTAACATGACTTATCCTGATCACGAATAAAAGAAATGAAAGCATTCCAAGTCATAGTCCCTTTTGTTGTCCCAAATCTGGTCAGTAATTGAACCACCAATATGATAACTATGTTTTGTACTATAGGTTCGCAGGGTATCAAGCATCAACCTGTCTAATACTTAAAGTGTTGAAGAGAAGAGGACCTGTAATGCCATGTGCAAAACCTAGATCTGTTTAGACATGCTCTGTGCACAAAAGGCAACGATGCACTTTCTAAAACTAGCAGCCTTTTTTGCCATTTGACGAAAAGAACCTTTAGGGCTATGTTCAGTTGATAGTGGACCTATAACTCATTATTATTGAGGGCAGTCAGTTTGGTTCGCTACAATTTCGGTCCTCAAATTTTTTACCTTTCTGAAAGTAATGCCTTGCTTTTATGTGCTTGAATTTTTAATTCAATAAAGGCCGTCGTTTTATTAGCTGTCAATTTTCTTTTTAGATCAATGGGTGTCCGGGGCTCTTTGAGCATCCAACTAATACCCATCGTGTATGACAGTCCCCCGTCTTACACTCACTGGGTCTGGAGACACATAGGTTTGAGCCCCTATGGTGGCCCCAAGAGAATGCGCAAGCAACCCAAGTCTTGAGTGAGAAGGATGAATACGCTTGCCACTTGAGCAACTCCTTGAGGTTTACTCATATCACATGTCAACTTAATTTTCCTGCTAAAGGTCATGATAATATCAAACTAGTTATGGAGTTTCTAGTTTTATGTCTATTACAATGGAAATGTACACTAGTCGATCCAAAATCCTGAAATCCCTTTTCCATAGGAGATCAATTCTGTTGCGCTGAACTTCAAAGTAGGAGATCTACTTCTGACCTCAAGCTCATCAACAGTGGGGATTGAAATTATGTTTTGTTCAAGAAAAGCGAGTTCAAAATCATAGAGCCTACTCAGTCAGATCATTGACAATACAATTCCCTAAGAAAGGAAGGACACATCACAATAGACCACATACTACAGATACTAAACCAAAGAACTACTCACAGCTTCCTCAGACCAGGCAATACACTTAGACCATTTCATATTTCCTATGGCAAGACCACAATTCTATCTAGAAGACCTCCATAAGATAGAGGATTCTACAGTGGCCAGGATAAAGATAAATTAGATGAACAAGAAACTTGCAAGTAATAAGTGAACAAGCTAAGATTGTAGACTATATAAATTTGACTGAACAAAAATGACACCATCATTCTCAGGAGATGTAAAGAATGACACAGGATCACTATCTGACTGAGACTTTGTCTATATTGCAATTTCTACTGGCGTATAAGAGATCCACATCATCAAAGGATGTCTAATTTGTCCTTTCTAATTTTAAGGTGTCATGGGACAAAACCCCGACTTACCTCCAGCTCCGGCCTCATCTAAATTTCTCGATGTAACCCCCGGTGGAAGTTGCAGATTACCTCTGCAGGACTCCCTTAAATTGCAACACCACTACCGATAATGTATTTATTCAGCTGACTTGATGTTATAAAGGTGAATAACCTATGAAGAAGTGCTTTTGTCTCCAGCTTCCAACTAAAGAGACCTAAATTTCCTCTTCCAGAGATTCTTTGATATAACGAAATCAGCCAACTCCTTCTTTAAGGCATCGGCGCAAAAATAGATAAACTCCTTCTCTAAGGCTATGCTTCCAAGCCTCTCATTCATATGACCACACCAAGCAGCTCGTTATCATCAAAGTAGCTCAAACTAACGGAGCAGTTATGCTCATTTCATTGCCGCGCATGGTACTTCAGCAATACGTTTATTGAATTAGCTTTTCAGACTTCTCAATAAGGTTAGGCAGGGTGTACTTGCAGACATGAACTAAAAAGGTCAGTCATTCTGATCTTCAAAAACTTGATCAAGCTGTTAACTCTAAATTCTTCGACTTTGAAGCCTGAGTGGCATATGACCCCTACCTATCAAAAGCTCAGAACACCAAAAACTGCAAAAAGTAACCTAAACTGAACCTCAGTAGTCAGTAGGTGAAGTGATGTGAATTGTATGTGAACTTCCAAGCACAACAAAGGAGAAATTTGTCAATCCAAGACCATGAAAAATGCATCTGTCATGTCAGACCAGGTTAATTTTTGCCTTCCACACGGTAGATCGATCGAGCAATCATCCAAAACCTCCTAGGCAATCCAATGAAATCGAGAGTAAAAACATACGCGCGGATCATCTACTTCATCCTCAACCTTCAAGAACAGTGCCAAGCCGCTGCAATATACAGAGACAAGAGTACCTGAAGCTCTTGGAGAGGGACGTACTTGACGAGGCCGCTGCAGATGATTCTCGGCTCAGGCTCGCCGACGTCCACCTCTTCCACGTACAGCGAGTCGGCCTCCTCGTGCCTCCACGCTTTGAGCACTTGCCCCACTCTTATGTCCAGCACGCTCGCCGCCTCCCCTATCTTCCTCATCCTCTCGTCCTCCGACTCCGGCTCCGCCTCCGCCTCCGCCTCCGCCTCCGCTTCCTTCACCTCCGTCGCCGGATCAGAGGAGCTCGCGGCGGCCGCGACCTCCACGCCATTCGCGCTCGCGCTCGAAGCCGTGCAGATCCGCAGCGCGCCTCCTCCGCCTCTCGACGCGAAGAGCGCGCCGCCCTTGGCCGTCGCCGCTGGGGAGAGGACCAGCGGCCGCCGGAGGAGCTGGCGGCGGCGGCAGGTGGAGAGGAGGAGGATGCCGCCGCATCTGGCGACGTTGTTGGCGGCGGCGGCGGCGGCCATCGGCAGCATTCCGATCGGTGCTCGAAATGCGGCGTGTCTTTTAAGAGTCCGTTATCTCGTTATCCAAGATTCAAAGGGCACATCTGCGTTCGACTCATTTTCATTTTCATTTTCATTTTCTTCCCCGAAGGTAAATTATAACATAAGATGATAGTTGTTTTTTTTTTTTTTTAATTCCTAGGAAAATTGCGACCAAAAATAAAACATTCCTAGGAAAATATTTGTTGTTACTAATGTATCAATTTCGAGTTAGTTTGATAATTTCGTGTCACATGACTCCGTAATCGAGTTTATACCGGAAAATCGATGTTGTATTTGAGAGCGTGATTAGGCGCGTATCTTTTTTTTTTATTGCTGGAAAAACGATAGAATTCCCGAGAAAATATTCGTTATTGCTGAATTCCGAGCGTAACAGGGATCAAAAATATGATGTACGCTTATTATCACTTGAGGTGTATCGGAGAACTTGTAGAATATGTGACATTGTGGAATAGGTAGCATCGAGTACGTTTCAAGATAGGCATTAGAGCTTTCAAAGGTTATGGATTCCAAAAATGTCGGGAACAGTGAACATATAATTTTTTGACCGCAAAAAATCCTAAACTGGTACACTTGTAATAAATTTACTCTCCGTTAGTTTCTTTTAAATTTTATAGTCAAATTGCTGAATTGAATGACACGCAATAATTGACTGATAACCAGCTTGGGTTTTTACCCCTCCGTTTGTCACAGGTTCACCAATTTGTGATTTTTCGTGATATTAATCCAATTTAACGGAGGATAAATATGTCACAAGTGCACTGGGTTTGGGGTTTTTGGTAGTTAAAATATTAATTTTGGGTAAATTTATCACAAATATACAAATTTGGAGTTTTTTATGGTATTAACCCCAATTTTTATCATGTAGTTCGTTCGTGTTTTGTAATAAATTCAATTTGTCAATAACTAGAATTATGACGAGTTATTACAAAAAATACAATATAGTATATGAAAAATAGCCTATTTTGTGAAGTTACTTAAATATATTTTTCGTTTATTTACTACAAGAAAACACTGAATTAGTTCATCTTTTCTTTTTCTACAAAAGAAAATCAGCAAACATGAGGAGAAAGTTACACGGCTCAAACCCTCAAACGAATTATTAAAGAAAAAATTTAATATTTCATATATAACTCTGGAGCAGCGGAGCTCCACTCATTTCGCCCGTCGAAATATTAAAAATGTGCAAAACATATAAACAAGGGCTATGACAAGAAGTGTATGGGACAAATCGACTCGAGCAAATTACAGGTTGTTACAGCCGGCGCCGCTCTCACGGCTTCCACGGCGGCGGCGGCGGGGGGTTGACGGGATAGAGCGGCGGGACCGCCGAGAAGATGGTGTTCTTGTCGATGCCGCGGCCGCCGCTCTCCGTCAGCGACACGAGCGCCGCCACGAGCCCCGCGTTCCCGGCCATGGTGGGCTCGGTGTAGCTGTAGTTCCCGCGCACGTCCTTGAACCGGTCGAACCGGTCCGGCCCCGCGACCATCGCCCCGTTGATCGTGTTGGGGTTGTTGTTGTGGGTGTCGCGCCACTTCCATCCCCCGGTGCACGAGTAAACCACGTGGTTGTTGGGGATCGACGCGCCGCGGTGGTGCACGTGTTTCGGGTACTTGGAGCCGAACCCGACCACATAGCTCATGTTCAATGGGTTTGCGCCAAGAATGTAGTTAATCTGAGTTCAATTTCCCCAACCAAAAACAAAGACTTCAGTGAACAAGAGGTATGAGCAGAATTCATTCGGACTTGGTTTCTATAAAGCCTGTAGTATTAGTAGTCACCTGAGAAGTAGCGAAACTCCGAAGAGTGTCGGACGATATGAAGTTCGGACCGCAGGTCCATCCCGGGACGCCGGTGGCGTTCATGTAATCGACGTAGAGAGACGCCAAGAAGGCGGCGTTGGCGACGTATTGCAGCGGTTGTGGCTGTCCATGGTTCAGCTCTATCATTCCTCCTGCAAATCAGAGGCAAATGACCCGACTGAATTGGACTCTGTTCTTGTTTGAACAGCAGGTGGCTCCGATCAGACAGTAGAGTGCATCAACACAACTTACCTTTAGTCCAATTGAACACGTTAAATTGGTGAAGATACGAGCACATGGTAAGGCCGGTCACGTTCTGGTACATGCTCAACATGTCCTCGTACGGGTAGCCCGGGTTCAGGAACACTCGCAACCGCGTCAGCAGGAGCATCGCCGCCGGCAATTTGTTGTCCCAGCTCAGCACGCTCAGGTCCGGGATCATTTTGAACGCCTTGGAGTTCTTGGGGATGCCCGGGTTGGTGGCCAGGGAGATGTAGGACTTGTTCCCGGTCGCGTAGTACAGCCACGCCGCGCCCCACATGTACTCGTCGAAATAGCCCGTCGAGTTATAATAGGGATCGATGTAAGGATTGCCGCGGGAATAAGGAGTGCGCCTCCCGGAGTCCCGGGCGAACGCGAATAGCGTCGCGGCGCCCTTGACCAGCTTCTTGGAGTAGGCAGCGTTGTCCTGGAACACGATCGAGGCGGATGCTAGGGCCGCGGCCATTTCCCCGGCGAGGTCTGGCCCCGAGGTAGTGACTTGCACCGGCCGCGGATAGTCCATGTCCTCCGGCCTAGTCCAACAGTAGTGATCGTCCGGGGTCGACGAACCATTCCGAGATCCGCCCACCTAGAAGAACAACAACACCAAATGGAATCCCATAAGCAAGAGCACATTCTGAAATTCTGAACCTGTGCTCACAATTCCTCAGAAAGTTGTGCATTCCAAATCTCTGAATCTAATCAATCAGCCCGATGTGCTCGTCTATCGCCTCGAGTATCAGAGACCGACAGGAGCGAACAAGATAATCAGAGTTTTCAACGATCGAACCGAGTTCGGAGCAGGATACGGTTTCGATGTATTTAATCCGTAGACTCTTGAATGAGTACAACTCAAAAAGCTACAGCTATGAGCCAGAGATTAGCATGCAGATCGCTTCTGATCAGGAACCAAACACAGAGATGAACAATGGCGGTGTCATCTTTCAGGGACATGTAAACAAGCATCACCTGACTGTAGATCTTGTCGATCTTGGTCGCCGAGGAGTTGAAGGTCAGGAGGAGGTAATCGGTGCCCCACTTGATGAGGTCCCGGGCGTGGTTGTACTCGCCGATGGCCTGGTACTTGTGGTTGTACTCGATGACGCTCCAGCTCAGCATCGTCATCGCGAACGCCATCGGGAAATGGAACTTGGTGTTGTCGCCCGCGTCGTAGTACCCTCCGACCAGCCCTCCCTTCACGTCGGTCGTGCCGTTCCCGTCCTGGAGCCCGGAATTGCCTCTCCAGGGGATGCCGTTGTTCTTCGGCAATCTCCCGGCTGCACCGAAAAGAAAAAATCAGAACTTTGCAACATTATCAACCGGTCGAATGCTTGTAACGTAGCAAAGCGGACCGACTTCATAATCAATCGAGAGATTTGAGAAAGAGCAATGCATACACTTTTGGGCATTGAAGAAGAGGAGGGCCTTGTGGAGGGCCACGGTGTAGTTGTCGGGGGGCGGCGGGCGGGCCTTGTGCCGCGGCACGGTCTTGGCGATGATGATGGGGAGGGCGATCACGACGAAGGCGGCGAGGAAGGCCCAGCCGGTCCACTTGAGCGCCTTGCGGCTGCAGACGACGCAGCCCAGGTCGACGTACTTGCTCTTCTTGGGCCGCTGGTCGCTCGAGCCGCCGAGGAGCCAGCTCTGCTGGGTCTCGTCGAGCTCGGGGTGGTGGTGGTGCAGCGCCGCCCGGTCCCACTCCCGGCTCCGCTGGTCGTCCTCCGCGGCCGAGGAGTCGCCGTTGATCTCGAACGACCCGCCCCAGTCGTTCCTGGCATGCATCTCGACAGATTACACGAACACGATCCGAAGTCCCGTCGATCGATCGAGCCCCTCAGTTCACGGAGCAACAAGCGACGGTCAACGCGTCGTCGAGCACGTATCGGGACAGGAACGTGCGCGACGTTACGCCGTGGTCAAGCGACGAAGAAGACGAGGAGCAGCTCCTTCTTCTTCTCCTTCTCCTTCTCCTTCTCCTTCTTCTTCTTCTCCGACCAGTTCATGGGAGGAATCGATCCTCGCGCACGACATGATCATATGGAAGCGAGGTCGGTGGGAGCGAGTGAGATTTGGCAACTCCCATCTCTGATTTTTTTTTTTTTTCTCTCTCTCACTCTTTCTTTTTCCCTTCCTTTCTTTCTTCGGGTTCAGTCCATATGTTCTGTGCAATGCACAGAGACAGAGAGACCGTTGACTTCGAATCCCGATTTTCCGTTTTTTGTTTGTTTTTTTGGGTTTTTTCTCTTTTTTTTTTCTTAAATAGGGAAAGTTCAGTAATTTGATACAGGGAATGTTGAGCTGGCCCCCTCTCTTTCCAGCACGTCAATGCACGCTAATTGACATTAGAAAACCAAGTCCCCGTTCTGCACGCAACCCGATTTTTCCTCCGCCCCCGGTCCACAAGGTGTTCGAACCCGGTATTCAAACTTACAACTCGACCGATTCGCACGCGGGGCGCACAAATCGCTCGGTAGGGTTAAGGGGTATAGCCTCCTCGACATTACTTCGAATATGATGCGATTCTTTCCTATTGAACCCGGTATTCGAAGTTTCAACTCAATTGATCCGCACGCGAGGCACGGAATCGCCATGTGGATTTAGGGATATAGCGTCCTCGACATTACTTCGAGTATGATGCGATATCAACATAGGATCCGTCACATTTAATACTTCGGATCTGTTACATTAGAACCCAGTAGTCGAACTTTCAACTCGACTAATTCGCACGCAATGCACAAGTATCACCCCGTAGAGTTAGGGGCATAGCCTCCTCGACGTCACTTCGAGTATGGTGCGATTCCAACACGGGATCCGTCACACTGAACGGCTCGGATCTTCTGTTGCATACCGCGAGTGGAACCGACATATATTTTTCTAGGGAAAAAAAATACCATTTAAAAATCTCTTAATTAATCTTTTTAATTTGCACCGGAAATAATGGCATTAACACGAGTAACGCCATCAGCGGGATCGAGGAACGCGGTACGTCCCTTTCACTTTCGTTGGCCAAACTAGTTTTTATAATTTAAATAATTGTTCACATCTAGAGCATAGACTTGCAAATAATGGTATTAAATTGAAGTTAGTCAAGTCTCGAGTACGATTGAAACACGCATCTCTACGGTCAAAAGGACGTGAAAAGGATGGACAGCTAATCGCGCATAAGAAAATCGAGGGTCGTGCTTAATTATGCCCTTAATTTAATCACCTTTTTTCAATTAACTGATTTTATTTTAATTTAATTTGTATCGACCTACTTGCCCTTTGGATTGCGAGTGGCCAGCTTCGAGATCGATCTCCCGTTTAATTTTAATTACACGATTATTTATTGACACCTATTGACTTTCGTGATATATTTTAAGTTGGCAATTAAGATGGCGCTATCTCGCTTTTGCCAACAGCCCACGAATTGTTTGATAGAGATTCTTATCTCCCCAATTTGAATTTTTGTTTTCGTCAAGTGTAATCTCGCGTCGCTCAGAGGGGCGATTATGATATGCCTCGTAAAATCATAATCTACCGCCACCTGAAGGGGGCGTTTACCGCGTCCGGGAGAGGGTTAAGTGTAATTCCGCATCGATTAAGTACGCTAAATACGTGGTTGTAATGTGCCTTTTACGATGTAGTCTCCCTCTGTCTAATAATGACTTAGGGTTTTACTCAGATATTCTAACATTATTTAAACATAGAAAGCTCGTACCACGTGTTGCTAGCATGGTGTCGTTAACTGATTGAGTTGTTAGGTTCGAGTGCTTATTGCTCCCCACGGACGAGAGAATAAATGCACATGTGACCATGAATGGGATTATCAGATGTTGGAGGAATGGAATAAGGGCAGCTCTCAACTTGAGATAGCACATTATCACCGTCAGATGGTATATATATGTCAAAGTTTATCCTTCCCAACACAAAAGACAAACAAGACCCATGGTAACCGAGTGGCGATTTGATCTTCCCTTTCGATAGAATGAAAGATGGTGGATCCGTGATTGAAGTAGCTATCTTTTATGAACATTATTATAATGGTTTCACATCCGCTGGAAAATGTTTAGTCTAAGCCATGAATGAATACTTAACCATAGTCCTGCATGCTGCTAGAGATCCGGAACCCATTTCCTCAAAAATTAGCACATGCACTGCTTCTGCAAGTGCTATCAAAACCTCTTGATCTCAAGTAAGTAGAATATTAACCTATACCACTAGGCAACTGATGTCAATGCTGTATTTTACATTTGTAAACCTATGAAAAAATGACACCACTCACAATGAATAAGCCCACTTGAATGTGAACCCAATGAATAAGCCCATTGAATTTGAACTTACTAAGCTAATATCTCTATTCTAATACCGAATTTGTTGTAAATATGTCAAATGCATATTATTATTCAATAACAATTTTCCTAATTTTGGTCGTTTTTATGCCTTAGAAAAACGAATCGTTGAAAAATGTTTTCATTATTGAGAATAATTCGTGTCTCAACATTTCGATTCGATGAAGAAGACATTTTCCTTTAATTCATTTGGGTATATGTTAAATTCAATTAGAGTTAAGATTGTGCCAACCCACTTGACAGGGTTGATGTTAGGTGGGTGTAGTTCGGATTCATCCTTATGCAATGTGAAATCACCTCTGCATGTGTGACCAATTTAATTGAGCGGACCATGTCATCTAAACTAATCAATTTATCTTTACCGACCTATTTAAATTCGATTTAGTTGATTTTTATGATCTTTTACTAGTTATTAGTTAAAGAAGAAAGTATTAATCTTCATCACTATTCAATTCCAATACATACCATGAATGTTACTCACAGAGTTGAACCAAATCAGACTTGACCTAAAATGGTTCAGAAAGAAAACTTTGGGCCATCTTGCCTGGCCAAATTTTATGAGAGCCCAAATGGGCCAGTCCCATTAGGCTCGAATATCAAATTTTGCACGTTGAATAGATCTTACCGATTGAGTATAAATTTCATTAAACTTTGTCTAAATCCACTTAGGGCTACCTCTACGAATTGCCATTCCTTATTCAAACTCATTTAAACCTTTTTCAATGAACCTGGACCTGCCCAAACCTGCTACTGCTGGATTGCCAGGTCTAGGAGGAATCCTTTAGTCAACTTAGTAGATGTACCACAGGAAATCTGGACCGTCAAATTTAGCGAGACTCATGTAAGTCCCACTATTTTCAAGGCCTAATTCTCTAAAAGAAAATCCAACTTTAGGTTCGATTCCAATTTTGCCCCAAAAAATCGTTTTTTTTTTTGGTAAGGAAGCCCCAAAAAAATCGTTAATTTTCACTCTAGTCCAAAATTTGATCCGCCTCAAAAAATCGCCACAAGTTTCTTCAAAATTATCGATATCAGGAGATTGCTGTTATTCCATACGAAGGTGAGGGTATTGGTGATGACGCGTGTTTTGATAATAAATCTCTAACTGGTCACGATGTTGATGATTTTAAAAAAAGTAGTGGCAATTTTTTTTCGACTCGGTGGCAGATTTGGGACTATAGTGACAATTTGTGCTTTTTTTAGGACAAAAAAAGTTTAGGGAAAAATTGGAATTGGACTTAAAGTTGGATTTTTTTAGGGAATTAAGCCCTATTTTCAATAATCTAAATTCAATTTAGTACGTATACTACACTCATGGAATAATTTTTCCATTTCGTCTCTCTATCTCTAAACCTAAACCCAGGTTAATTACTCGAAAAATTCAAGGCAGTCTAGCCCAGCACGAAACCATCCTCTTTTATACCTGCATAATGTTCCAAGTCCAAACTTATTATGAATGATGTTCTCTCCTTGAACTATTGGGCCGGAGCTAATTCATCTTCACGAGCTATGAATCTACAACCAAGAAAAGAGAAGCTTTCAAAAATATGAGATGATAGAGAGAGGCCCAACATAGGTGCATATACGTAACTGATGACATGATACCATGCAATGGACTTGATGGTTCCGGCATTTGAACGATCGACAGTGATTAAGATTGGGGTTTGAATCCGTCCCAGATGCTGAACACATTCAGGAAAACGACCTTCATAGACAAATCGATCTCTCATTGTCCTTTCCAGGGAGCAAAGTATGAATGCTATCGTTCGCGGGTTGACATGTATGCCCGATGTCATTGTCGTCGTCGTCTATTTTTCGGGGTTTTGAAGTTTCTTGGCAGGCTGAGACGGGTCCTACGGAGCATGAGCGCTTACTCTTCTGTATTGATGTGATGCATGAAGAAGGGGTTGCGCTTGGTTGTTTGCTTACTGCATAAGTTGTCAGCTTCTTGTTTTACCTAGTATAGTTGTCGTGGACGGTTCTTGTTGCGAGGACCCGTCTGTTCTATTATATGCACAAAGTGCCTTGTACTCGTCTTGTTATTTCCACCCGACCACAGTTGAGAGACATCGATCCATGTCTACATATAGAGGCGCTCCAAACTCTCGCACCTCGTCACTTTTAGCTTGTTGGATCTTTCGCGCATTCCATTGAGAGGAGAGAAGCAAAGAGAAGAGAGGATGGAAAGTAAGCATGGGGAGGGAGTGAGGAACAAGCAGGTGATATTCAGGGACTTCCTCGCGAAGGGAGCCTTCCCTAAAGAGTCGGACATGGAGGTGACTGAATCGACGATTGAACTGACGAGGGCCGTCGCTGAAGGCTCCAAGGGAGTGTTGGTGAAAAATCTCTACCTCTCCTGCGATCCTTACATGAGGGGTCGCATGCGGGAGCTCACTGACTCATCTCAGAGCTATATCGCCTCCTTCCAACCGGGTTCGGTGAGCCCAGCTCAGCTCTTCTTTTTGTTTTGAAATAGAAGCAAGAATGACGAGAAGATGGAATTCTCTGTTGATGAACTTGCTCTGGGATTGATTCGTGTTTTGTCCCAAGTGAAAATTGCGGCATTTTACATGAGTTTCTGAGGCATTTTTTTTTTTGGTAGAAGTTTCTGAGGCATTTGACTTTGCATGCTTTTGCTTGCTACTGTTCTTCGATAGTTGGTCTCAGGTTGGCTCATTAGTATTTCAGGACTGGTTATGTGCAGCATTTTCATCATAACAGTGATTATGTCCAAGGGTTCTTGTTTATGGTTGAGTTCTTGTAACCTCTGAGGTGGGAGCAGATTCGAGGCGCCTTTGAAAGCATACCTATGGTTCTAAATGTGTTCCAATTGTTCCCAAAAATGTGTTGGAGGATTTGGTGAGTTGAAAGAACCGAGTTTATGCTTGTAGGTAGAGAAACTTTCATGTTTTACATTTGGACGGTTTGATAAAATCATGTTTAATGAGCGATGCGACTTGCTTTTATCGCTTCCATTCATGTGTATTAGGATGTTCACTGATGAAAGCAGCTTGCCTGGGGTATAGAACAAAGAGATATATAATTGATTGAAATGAAACAAGAATGAACACGACTCTGCAATGAGCGGAGTTTACGCAGGATCCATAAGCGCTGTGTTTGTGTTCTAATCTTCTTCCTTGATTGATAAATCAGCGCCTTTGGAATCATAGACTTTGCACATGCATCGCTTCGAAATTTGTGTTCGCTAAATGTGTTAGCATGTGAAAACACATCTATGCAGCCTGTTACCGGACTTGGAGTGGCAAGAGTCCTGGAATCTGGGCATCCGAATTTCAAGAAAGGCGATTTGGTTTGGGGCATCACGGGATGGGAGGAGTACAGTCTACTTCCCGCGCCAGAGACTTGCTTCAAGATCGAACACACCGATGTTCCTCTCTCTTACTACACCGGTCTTTTGGGTACGCCCTTTGATTATCCACCGTATTTGCTCTTTCAATGTCGATGAACTCTGTTTTTCCCCGAAAGTCTTGCTGGTGCACACTTTCAACAGTTCAATTAAAAGTTCTGCAGCACTGTTAGTCGAGTGAACTATGCAGCAAACGTGTAAGTTAGGGAATTTCTCAATATAATTAGTGACTTTCCATGAGAAGTCTATACATTTCCCACGGGCTAGCTTCTCTTCCGGATATATATGGTTGTCTAGTGATCGTTGGCCATAGCCATATCGCTTCTCCTCTTTAGCTTTAGCAAAATTTTGATACTCGGTCTACTTTCTACAAACCTGAACTCTGCAGGCATGCCGGGCCTAACGGCTTATGGCGGGTTTTTCGAGTTATGCTCCCCTAAGAAAGGAGAGAACGTTTTTATATCGGCTGCATCCGGGGCAGTTGGTCAGCTTGTTGGCCAGTTTGCAAAGTTGTTAGGTTGCTATGTTGTTGGCAGCGCCGGCAGCAAAGAAAAGGTAATCTCCTCACATTCATCCGACATCACGTATTTCCTCGAACGATAGTTGTTTAGGCAACATCCACCTCCGCCATGGTGCTAATTTGGTTTTCCGAACACGTTTAGCATCTGCGATAAACAGATCTTTTCGGTACTAGGCAAACATTTATGTCCACATGAACTTTAAGACTTCAATCAGTCATCTAGTCATGAATCATATCTGGATATTACAAGCATGGCATGCTTTCTCAAATTTGAGAGCACTTTTCAAGAACGTGATCGCCGTGTCGGATGTATATCCTCATCATTCACTAAAATAAATGTAGAAGCACTCCCTGTGTTAGCTAGTCTCTTCATTTCCTTCTTCACTACTGCAAAATAGGTTGACTTGCTGAAGAACAAGCTTGGATTCGACGAAGCTTTCAACTACAAGGAAGAATCAGATCTGGATGCAGCACTGAAAAGGTTAGTTCAACATGCTAATGACGATTGAGCGAATCAACCACCACTACACATATGCGCACGATCGTGAAGCCGGCTTGAGTTTACCTTTTCCATCTCGAAATCTCTAGGTACTTCCCTGAGGGGATCGACATCTACTTCGAGAATGTCGGGGGAAAGACGTTGGATGCGGTGCTACTCAATATGAAGCTTCATGGCCGAATCGCGGCATGTGGAATGATCTCGCAGTACAACCTCGAGCAGGCCGAAGGCGTGCACAACCTGATGCAAATTATCGCGAAGCGGGTTCGAATGGAAGGTTTCAACGCGCTCGATTACTATCATCTCTATCCAAAGTTCCTGGAGATGGTTTTGCCTCAGATCAAAGAGGGACGGATCGTGTATGTGGAGGACGTTGTAGAAGGGCTCGAGAACGGTCCGGCAGCTCTGGTCGGGCTGTTTTCCGGCCGCAATGTCGGGAAACAGGTGGTCCTGGTTTCGCGCGAATGAGTCACTTGTTGTGCCTTTTCCACTGGCACGGTCTCTTTGGTTTGTGTTTCCGAAAGGATATGTTTTCTGTTCCGTTGGCATAGTCTCTGGAGTTCAACTATTTTTCGGTTTTTAAAGAAAGGTCTAGCAATTGATCGTAACTTATCGATAATTAAATATTTCGCCAATAAATAAGAAATAACATTAATTATTTTGATTTATATTATTGGATCCACGATTTCGTGCTTTTAAATACGTTCAAATGCCGATTATGGTCTATAACCTACAGAGTTTGTTCATTTCCGGCCCCTATTTTTGACCAAAGTCGCCTTTGTTTTTATTACATCGACTAAGTAAATCCTTTCCGAGGTGAAAGAGATCATGAGAAACATTACGTCATATTTATTTATTTATTTCATACAAATTATCTTAACCATAAAAAGATATTTCAATTATGATAGGATGTTTTTTGTACGAGCCATAGAGTTTGTGAACGATTTTGGTCGACTTTCGATAGAAAGAAAAATGATATTGGGGGCGTTGTATATGAAAAAGCTACGAATCGATCTATAAAAAATCCCTATTTTAAAAAAGCTGGGTTGTGTATCCATGTTTGCGTATTATACATCGGTTTTAATATTTCGAATCAAGTCAAACACTATATTTTGATTAATCACGTTATAAAATTAATTAGTATTTTATTTTGCGCACAAACAATGTAAACTTTAATTTCAAAATTGGAATTACCCAAATTTTCATGCATTTTTATTTAGGGTTAATACCACGAAAAACCCCAAATTGGTGCACTTATGACAATTTTACCCCAAACTAATTTTTTGACTACCAAAAACCTCAAACTGGTATACCCGTGATAATTTTATTCCGAACTATTTTTTTAATCACCAAAAACCCCACACTGGTACACTTGTAATAATTTTACCTCGAACTAATTTTTTGGCTACCAAAAACCCCAAACTGGTACACCTGTGATAATTTTACCCTAAACAAATTTTTTGACCACTAAAAACCCCAACTGCTACATTTGTAACAAATTTACCCTCCGTTAGTGTCTGTTAAATTAAATTAATATCACGAAAAATTACAAATTTGTAAACTTAACTCCAAACTAGTACACCCGTGAACTATCACGTGTCATCGAACTTAGCAATTTGATAGAAAAATTTAACGGAAATTAACATGGGGTAAATTTGTCACAGATATACCAGTTTGAAATTTTTTGGTGGTCAAAAAATTAGTTCGGGGTAAAATTATCACTTGTGTGAGATTTTTAATGGTCAAAAAATAGTTCTTGATAAAATTATTATAGGTATACGAATTTAAAATTTTTTGTAATCAAAAAAATAATTTAAAGTAAATTTATTATGAATGTATAAGTTAGTTTGAGGTTTTTCGTCGTATTAACCTTTTTATTCAACGGTCCATTTATACCTCCGATTTTTTACTCCTTCATTTTCAAGCATAGAAGAGCGAATTGCCGAGCGCTCCTGCCAAAGCCCTTCCCTCCTCCGCCACCGACCAGCGCCGCCGCCTCAGACGCCCATCGACGGCCGCCATAGACCGGCGACTCCGCGGCAACCGCAGTCGCACTCCACGCCGCGGCCACACTCCACCGACCCCAGCCACCGCAGCATCGGCTGAGCGCTCGCTGCCACCGCTGCCAGTCCCCGAGCCTGTCACCTCGACGCCGCCATAGACCGGCGACCCCGTGGCAACGGCAGCCGCAGTTCACGCCGCGTAGCAGTGCCGCCACAATCGCCGCGGCCACGCTCCGCCGACCCCGGCCACCGCAGCATCGGCTGAGCGCTCGCCGCCACCGCTGCCAGTCCCCGAGTCTGTCACCACCTCTTTCTCTCTCTCTGTGTCTCGTTTAAGTGGTTTTCATACAGCGACTCCGCGATCAACTCCTATGAAACTTAATATTTCAATTTTTGCATATCCATACAATTGAACCGCGACTCTGATGAACCGTTTTTTGGGATGAAGTGGCCCTGCGCGGCGGCCATGCCTAGTTGCTGTTCGGTAGGGCAGGATGAGTAGCGGACTGCCAAGTAGGGTGGAGAGTCTTGGCCATTTTGGTCAGCATCAGTAACGCAGCTGATGCTTCGACTGATTTTGCTGGCAATGTGTGTGACCTTTTGGATGGTTTCATAGAGTAATGCTGGGTATGCTAAGATCGGTCTACTAAATCGGTATGTTTAAGTGATGTTAGTCGTGACGAACTGTAAATGGCTTTTAATACGAGTTTGACACATCACGTTGTACTGATTAAGTGAACCGGACTTAGTATGCAAGTGCCATTCAGTTAGTATGCAAGCATTATTTCGTCAACAGGACTTAGTGTGTTTTCCGTGGTGTAATTTATTACTTATCAATTATTAGTATGGGGGCTCTCGGTTGTCGTCATCGTTGAGGTGTTTTTGTTTTTGGCATGATGACTCTTAGGGGAGTTCAATGATGAGAATTCTTTTGGGTGTTTTGTGATGATTGGACTGTGGTTACTGCGGGTGCTCCTTTGTAGTTGACTCAGAAGTTGTTCTTCCACAGGACTTGGAGATGGAGTAACCCCTAAATTTGTGAGGTTGAGGCAAGAGGACCCCCACCGATGCGGAGATCATTGGCAATATCCTCCCTGGTGAGCCCTTTCCGTTTCATTCTTCCCTTACTTTCTTAATTGCTTCTGCATAGATGGCCTTGTATCGCTTGAGGTTTCTCTGGGTCTGAGTAATTGAGACTTGAGTTATTTTTGGGCATTGACGCTGTTAATAATTTCTCCAATAAAACTTAGTTTATCTCGCTGTGGTTTTCATCTCCACTGTCCTTCCTGATTATATCGACGTAGTTCTGTTGAGTTCTCTGTTCCTTGAAACCCATATTGTAGAGTACTAACATTTGCAATGACTTGTTGAGAACTTTTCCCTGCCATTACATTTTTTGAATCATTGTCGATTTCCAGAGGTTGCATTTGATGGTAATTTTCTTCGTAATTGGCTTATGAGGGGCAAAAGAATGCCTGATGTGGATCAGATTTGTCTTTGGACTGATTAATGATACATTTGAGATTCTAACATATGCTGATTGCTTTGCACAGGTTGGACGTTTGACTCAATATGGAGTGGTTCGTGTCGAGAAACTTGGTTCCAGTTACAGTACAATGGTCCAGTCTCATAAATATGGACATTGCACTGGTGGAGCAAAAGAGTCATCATTAAAGGTGCTTATTAAATCATTTTTCGTGTGCTCTGATTGGTAAAAATAGCCCACAACTCCTTAGGTTAACTTGCGCTTGGAAAAGAAGTAGCAAAAATGATAACATAAGAAAAACACAAGTTCTGGCCTATTTCTTTTTAAGGGAGGGCGGAGGCTGTCCCCTCCAGTCAATGTGTCCTTGTAGGTCCATTAATAATACCATGTTTTTGGAGAATGGGTTATCGCTTGTCTAAGGAATTAGGGTCTTTTTCGATGGAGGTTCTGTTTCTTGTGGATATGATTCCATTATTGATCGCATATGTTCCTTTAACCTTAGATTTGCAGGTGCCTTTTTAACTCATTCTTTGCATTTACTGCTTTGGTTGATGCATCTTTACTATACCATCTGCAGAAATATACAGCAGCTACTGCATCTTGAATGTGGCTTTTCATTTAACAATGGAAAAGGATAGGATTGTACAGGTGAAGTTTGATGTAGGCCTATTGCTATTAAGAGTTTTTCTAGAATCCCTTTGTGCTTTTTAATGTAAGTCAGTTCAATTACATGTGCTCCATGGCTTGCTTGGTGCGACTCGTATGGCTTTCATCCAAAATCCTTGAACAACTTTTTTCTCCGTGGTCCCTCTCCATGATAATGAATGACATCTGCTGTAACTGTATATCTCCTCAATCTCCTCGTTAGATAGATGGCCTTCTCAGTCAACCTTCCTTACACCACTCATATGGAATCCTCTTTTGTGGTTTAAGATATTTGAAGGCTGCATTTAGAAAAGGGTCACTGCTCTCCTTTGATGGTCATTTGAAGACAAAAGCATTTGTTGACACAGAGTGGGTTAGGTCTGTTGATGTTAGAAGATTCGCTTCTGGCATTGGCAGTAACCTAGTTGATTTGTGAAGTGAAAAAGAGTTTGTTACTTTTAGATCATGTGCAGATGCTGAGTATGCAGTTGTGACAGGAGATGTGATCGACTTCTTTTGCCTGAGAAAATTAGTTCAAGATGTAAGACTAAATGTTGAGCAACTGACCTTACTCTATTGTGATAAAAAGGCGGCTGCTATCAGCAACAGTCACAGTCTGGTTCAATGTGTTAGAGCAGAACATATTGAAATTAACAAGAATTCCTCAATGTGAAACTAGAGAACAGGCTCATTTGTAAATCTATCATGAAATCCATAAAGTGACTGGTATATCTTTTTTATTCCCGGTTTGCAAGATGGGCATGGAAAATATCTACCCTCCATCTTGAGGGGGCGTATCGAGAGTTTTTTTCTTTTTGGTGGCTGACTTGTAATATTAGGTAGTGTCATGTCATATTCATTATCGAAACACATGAACTGGTTGTAACATGTATTGTACAACTCACCTTTCTACGCTCTTCTTTCTTCTTTCAATACCCAAATCACATCAAGAAAGTATTCATTTATATGCTCCCGTGGCATATGCAGATTTTAGTGGTCTATTGCAAATTTTTAGAATTGTTGATGTATGGATGGATTTGTATGCGCAGTATGTTACCTGATGAATAGCCTTCCAGTTGTATTCTTCAACTGAAACATTTTGAAACTTCATTGCAATCATATCTCTCTTAAGTTTCTTTTTTCATAGTTGCTATTGTTTGACTTGAACTTAGTGATTGTATTGCAGGAAGAGGGTGATGCTCATGCTGCCTTACATGGTGGGCAGGAAATAGAAAGATCACAGAAGCCCAGGATTGGAGAAAATGTTTCAAGAAAGGATCGGTTCAATTTTCTAGTGAGCACAGTAAGTATTAATGGGTGGAAGTAGTTCTCGAATATGAAACTTTGGAGAACGCTGCTCTGTGAATGAAGCTAATATGAGATCTATTCCTTTTATCTGCCATATATTAGGATAGAAAATGACATAACCACGAAGTTGACTGATAAGTAGAATCTAATTATATCCCAGTTAATTTTGGAGTGCGTTTAAGTATAATAGTGTGAAAACTTGTCATACATTGAAGGTAAATTGGCAAGAAAACCAAGTGATGAACGTCTCATGTCACTTTGTTAATTGAGCTAATTGAAGCAGCCCGAATAACCATGCAAGCTGAGAGCGATCATCATTGGAAATAGTTGCACTATAATCAAGTTTTCGTGGAAATAGGCATTGTATTATCAACAACTCAAGAGATCTAATAGGTTTACGATTCTTCTTTTAGTTGATTTTGTAGTTTGATCTACTCATGTGATGGATGTCTCATGTCACTTTGTTAATTGAGCTAATTGATGCAGCCCGAATAACCATGCAAGCTGAGAGTGATCATCATTGGAAATAGTCGCACTATAATCAAGTTTTCGTGGAAATAGGCATTGTATTATCGACAACTCAAGAGACCTAATAGGTTTACGATTCTTCTTTTAGTTGATTTTGTAGTTTGATCTACCAGAATTAGAATCCTATCAGGATTTTGATGAGTTTCTAATTTCTACTTGATGTAGAATTTGATGGGTTTCTATTTGTAATGGAATTAGGTTCTGGGTTCCTATTGCTACTTGGAATAGGATTTTGAAGGGGTTTATTAAAACGATTCATCACGTTTATTGAAGTATCATAACTCTTATGCTTTTTTGAGTATTGCGATGCGGTTTTATATTTAATAATGATGCTTAAGATGTGGTGTTTATGAGCTTTATGTGTGACATTTAAAAGAATTTATTGTACTTCATTTAGGCATCGTGCTCAAGACCTCCCAAGCATCATAATCTAGGGTTCTTAAGCATCATTTCAAGTAATGAATTTCATTGCACAACTCCATAGTAAACAACTGCTAAAAACTCGAACTTTATTATTAATCTAAGAATATCATATCTAAAGATTCTGCTATAACTTATTCCAAGTTGAAAAGTGATACTTATAGAGAAAATGTAAATCCTACTTCAAATAAAAATGAGAAACCTAATTTCCTATTTAAAATAGAGAAGGAAATTGATTAAATTCTGAATGACTTGGATCCCATCCAACTGATAAGACTGTTAATTCAATTAGTATGTTGTGCTATTAATCTATTAAAACTCTTACTATTGAGGCAAACGTCCATCATCATCAAGACTTGAAATTCAACCTTTGAATCACTATCACATTGTTTCAGTTTGTGTGCTGCATCACCATGCTCTGTACCCTCCCTAATTCTTCCTTCCAAGATCCACTTTCCATTGATGTTATTTTTTTTTATTCTGTTTACAATGACCAGCTGCCAAAGTGCTGAGCTGCAACTAGTAGCTCTTTATTGCATAACTTCTTGCTCAATTTACTTTGTCATATACCTAGTCTAGCTTCCCTCGGTAGTAACTAGCTTTGTCAATCACCCTCAAAAGGCTCTGCTTTAATTTAAAGTCCATTCGACTCCCATCTTACCAACACCCATGCCTAATTAGAACCCCCAAATAATTTTCGATGTCTGAAGCCATTGGGAAGGGTTTCGGTTTGCAAATGCACTCTTGGTTTTGCATGGCAACTTAATCTTCTTCCACTTTTTGACATAATTGAAGACTTTTTACAGACATTTCTTCAGGTATTATACTTGTGCGTTTGCTTATTACTTTACTCCTTAAAATTAACAGCTTCTTGATCTGAAGGACAGCAAACAATCAGTTTATGGTGCTCTTGATGCCTGGGTTGCATGGGAACAAAATTTTCCTCTTGCTTCGCTTAGGAGGGCATTGCTTGTTCTTGAGAAAGAACACCAGTGGCATAGGATAGTCCAGGTAATCTCACTAGAATTTCCCTGAGAAACATTCAATGCTGTCAGGTACTAAATTGTTAAATTTTGTACTATGAATGTGTTGTTGACCTTTGTTTCAGAAGAAGTGTGAGCTTTTGCTGTTCCTTTTTATTTCCCTACTTTGAAATTGTGGCACTCAAAAAGTAGTGCACCATGAGCAGTCTGTCTGACTTTAGACCTGGTTTTGCCTTGCACTTGTAGGTAATTAAATGGATGCTGAGCAAAGGACAGGGAAACACAATGGGAACATATGGAATGTTAATCCGGGCTCTAGACATGGACCATAGAGCAGAAGAAGCGCACAGATTTTGGGTGAAGAAAATTGGTAGTGATCTACATTCTGTACCATGGAGTTTATGCACCAGCATGATAGCGATCTACTATCGAAACAATATGCTGGAGCATCTTATAAAGGTAGTAATACTGTGGAAGTTAAAATTCACATGCTTAAAGTAAAAGGACATTATGGTTATGAAGTGAAACTCTGACTGACGAGCTAATTTTTTACAAGACTATGGTAGTCTTTGACAAGAAGATTTTCAGAAATTCTTGAATTCACAAGATGTTTGGGGCAACATCCTGATAATGATAATGCCTACTAAATCTATGAGGCCTCGGCGAAGTTCTGAGAGGAAATTGTATGCATAAGCTTGGAAAACTAAGTCTTACATTAAGTTTCCTGTGAACTACTTAAAAGAAGAGCTTCTGCAGCTCAATCACATATTAAGAAGGTTCATATGAAAATGATTTTTGGATTGTGTCCTCCCCTCCTTCTCTCTCAAATACCATGTTAAGCTACACCAAGCTGTCATTTCCATTTCGGAACAACTATCAAAGAATATTTAGAGTTCAAAAATTCAGTGATTTTTGAATAGTTGCCCCATTGGCTATCTATTTTGTTTATCTTATGTTTAGATCATTATGATTAATTAGTCCATCTCTAGCTTGTTAGGAGCTGGCTTTTCTTTTTGTTTTCCCACAATTCCCTGAACCTTATGAATTTTACCTTGTTGAATATGAAGCTTTTCAAAGGCCTTGAAGCTTTTGATCGGAAGCCACCAGAGAAGTCAATAGTTCAGAAAGTGGCAGATGTATACGAGGTTTCAGGCCTAGTCGAGGAGAAAACGAGACTTTTAGAGAAATATGATTATCTTTTCACAGAATCACACAAAGGATCCACCAAATCCACTTCAAAGAAGGGGAAGAAATCAGGTCAGTTATCTAAGAATATAGTATTTACCATCCCCATACTCAAATAAAGAAGTCATATGCAAATCTCACAGATCAATTTCTTTGCGAAATGAAAACAAATGATGTTGATTGGAGCCAATATGTGATGGTAGTGAATTTATCATCTAGAGTCTAAAAGAAAGAATACGGTGTTGGTTCATGTATGTGAATTCAAAGTTGTGGACGGGATTTGTTTCCCTACCAATGGAGTTATGATGTCTAATATTGGTTTGATGATATTAAAATTCTATACATACTGTTGCACAAATTCCCTGAAAAGTTCGTCTGATACATGTTCTTTGAGAATTCAACATTGATGGTTCTGTTGAGTTGTTTTCCTTTGGAAACTTCTTTGGGCATATAGCATTTCTCATCTCTTTCATTTCAGAAAGCTGGACCTGCCATCCTTTTCTGGCATCGCAATTTAACCCATGTATCGTCTCTTAATATTGTCCTTCAGGGCAGAGGAAAAAGACAGACCTGCCATTATAGTCTTTAAAGAAGACGGGCACAAACAACCAGGAATAAAGAGAAGAATGGGATGCCTTTAGATGGTTGTGGCATTTTAAAGCTGAACGTGCCATCCTTTTCCAGCATTGCAATTTACTTCTGCCGAGCATTTCTTGGTGTCCTTTCTCATGTGATATCCAATGGCCAAACCTTTTGATGCTTGTGGTATTTGGAAGCCTTCTAACAAGAAGAAAAGGAAGACATGGCGATGAAATGGGTTCGGTCTTTTACACACAAGGAAGGTAATCGAAAATGGCATTGAAATGATTTTTCCGTCTATACCAGAAATTTGCTTGATCCGGTTTTAGATATGAAGTTGAGAAGTATCAAAGTCGTCTTGAAGCAAGTATATTGGTAGAACGAACGTGTTATGTGGGTACTGTCATCGACTTACATCATTTCATAGTAAAATTAGAACCTTCATCCCTCCGGAGCGGGCGAAGGTCGGTCGCGACAATTATGCTTTTTATTATAGCATATGAGGCGGTTATGGGAGTGAATGTAGTCTGCAATATTCTATTTGCCGTTGTCGTTGGATGTAAAACAGAAATTTTCTGGCTCATTAGCAAGTTGTTGGGTTGGGTACAATTCATGCCACGTTCCGACATATCTCGGTTAAATTTCCACTATGATGTTGTGTCCGAGTTGTATTAGCACGTTGTGTCGAAAATGACCACACCAGATCAGCGCGGCAATTCTTCCTGTAAGTTGCACGTGACACGAGAACTTCTAGCAAATCACGCAAGAAAACCACGACACCAAGCTCACCGTACGATCTGGGCACCGAACCCAAGATGCTACTGTCATCATTGATCACAAAGGTTGACATGAGTTTTGGAAGATTAGCCAAGGCAAAGGTAAAGAACCTACATGCAGTGAGAAACTCGAACATTCCTATTTCAAACTTTAAGGTGCCCAAACTTCATGGCAAAATGCACTAAGGTATCTACTCGATTTCCCATGTATTTTAATTGAAGGTATCACATGAACACAAAGTTTATAATTGTTTCAGAGCTACTACAACCGTTACTTACAAGAATCGTAGAACTAAATATGCTATTTCGGTGTTTTTAGTATAGTGCTCGAGCGGCACGCAAGTTTGAATATGCTGCTCCCTCCCGTACGTCATGAGATGTCTTGACGATAATAAAAATGCAATTCCTTGGATTTGGCCAAAATCAGAGGAAACATGAACTCATTTTGATTATCAGTGTTCTAAAGCACTTCGAATAGAGATAGGTGAATCTAGCACAGATCCCCTGGATATCAGATCATGGTTCAAGAATAAAACAATGACTGTTATATCATCATGAAAATGCCGCCGAACCTCCTTGTCGATTTTGCGAAGATCTGAATAACGCATTTCTCGCTTTCTTGCGGCTTCATACAGAGCAGCCTTAATTAACCTTTTGGCACTTCCCTGAAAAAAAAAAAAGAAGAAGAGAAACTTGCCCATAAATACTCAGGAAGATAAGATAAAACTAAAGATAGACTGCATCAGAATGCCTAGTAATGTATACTTCATGCAAACTAATGAGAAGAAGCAATCTCAATGCTCATGCAAAAACTGTCGCAACAAAAAGTTCGTCTCCACAGAAGAAAAATGGCCACGAAAATTGTACACAGAGAAGGTCTTACCGCCCGAGGATGACTGTGGACAATCTCCACAGCTTTCTCATTAGTCAAATGTTCCCACAGGCCATCAGATGCAAAAATAAGAAAAGTATCATTTGGATGAATAGGGTGAGAGGTAATTGCCAGATTGGCAGTTAAAATAGGCATATTCAAAGGCTGAGGAAGTCTGAATTTTGGATTAAGCGGTTCCCTGTTGAACCGTGCATGCTTCAGGTATACATCACCAATAGACCTAGAAACCTGCATCAAGTGCATTTAAGTGCATAATCAGATGAGGTTCATATCGGTTTTTTTCCCTTCAAAAGATGACATCAACAGCAAAAGGCAACCAATGACATCAATATCAAGTTGTACATAAACTCCACGGCTCAAATGTACTTATTGTTGGGATATTTAAATATTAAACCATACATTTATCTAACAGTTTAAGCTTTTAAAGCAGTTAGCTATGATCCCACAAGATTTTCACTTATCATTATAGAAGGTGAAATCAAGTTTCTCCTCTCCTCTGTGACTAACTATCAAATTTCTCTATTATTTTTTCCTATAAAAAACTAAATAGCATCTTCAGCTTCTTTTAAGCTGTAACATTCACAAACCACTTAACATAACTACCTTTCAGCTACTGGAAATATAGTACTCAATAATCTGAACCAACTTCAATCCTCAAAACAAATCCATAAACCCTTCCAAACATATTCATCATAGTAAATTTTTACCATTATGCATAAATATGTCAAAACTGACTTTAATTATCAATTTGGGGTAAGTATGAAATGTGTAATTTAAACAGAATCAAATATTATCTAGTTTGTCATTGGTCATGAGGAAAGGAGTATCCACTTTGGCTGCGTTTGGGAACACTTTTGGGAAAATGCAAAGGACTTTGAGCTAAAAGGGTTTTCCGAAATGCAAGTAGTATTTGGAAATGTGTATTTTAAAATCACGTTTGAAAGCAACTTTGGTCTAAATACCGCTTGGTAAAAATTAATTTTGTAAAGGACTTTTGCTAATTATTTATAAAAAAAAAAAATTCAGCAAAAAGCACAGCCACTACCGGGGGCCAAAACGGCCAACCTCCGGCGGCCATATCTGGCCGCCGGCCAGCCTCGCCTGAGGTCGGGCGACCTCAGGCGAGGCTGCACCGCCGCCTAAGGGTCGCACGACCCTCAGGCCGCCTCGCCTGGGTCGCGCGACCCAAGCCGGTCGGGCGACCCCAGGCGGCGGTAGCCGGAGGTCGGCCGAGCCCCCAGGAGGCGTTGGCCGGACCAGCGCGACCCAGGGCGATGCCTAGGTCACGCGACCTCAGGCTGCCTCGCCTAGGTCGCACGACCCGGGCAAGTGTCGGCCTGGGTCGTGCGACCTAGGCGAGGCAGCCTGAGGTCGCGTGACCTAGGCATCGCCTGGGTCGCGCTGGTCCGGCCAACGCCTCCTGGGGGTCGGCCGACCTCCGGCGACCGCCGCCTGGGGTCGCCCGACCTCAGGCGGCGCCTAAGTCGCGCGACCCAGCTCGGTCAGACGAGGGCAAAACCGGAAAATCAAAAAATAGATGAGGGTAGTTTCGGAAGAAATTTTTTTTACTTACCCGGGTACTATTGCTTACCGAGAAAGCTGAAAACCCAAGGCAGCCTAGGACCTGCCTTGGGCTTTCAGCCTTCACAAGGCCAACTTTGGCTCAATGGGGTTTCAAAAAAATTTTGCCAAACACCAAATTTTAGCCTAAAGGGCTTTAGGTGCCCAAAGTGGCTTCCTAAAGCCAATCCCAAACGCAGCCTTTGTCCCAGAATTTCCAATAGACAATAAATTTTCCAACTAAATTAGAAGCATGCAGTCTTGTCAAGTTTTCACTACATAAAAAGTCAAAAAACAACAAGATGACAACAGGGACAACAACAGCGACAAGTTTCATGCTCTAACCACCACGGAACCCGAAAACTTAAAATAGCAAAATTTACAGTGGTCCTCATTTAAAAGATTCCTTCACATGTCTACAGACAACATGTTTAGGTGTGCGAGAAGGTGGAGTCCAATGCTCTCGTGCTACTTAAAGACTGATGGAATTAACGGGAAATCAGTCCAAAGGATCCTCCAGTTGGAGGCTAAATTAAGAAAAGAAAGAGAGAGAATGGAGTGCATTTTTTCTCCATAAAAGATATAATTCATTTATAAAAATTAGAAGATGAAGATCTTCCAAATCAGGTTTACATTCGGATGTCATACCATAATTGACTGAAGATCAACTTCAGACATTGTTTAAAAATTAGAAAACTGGAGCTAGTGCAAGCTAAAACAAAACAAAGAGAAAATTTTCAACCAGCCAGCAGCACCGCATCAATTGTTGAGCTAGAGACAAATACCTGAATGAGGCCTTTCACTCTCCAAACTCCATGTCTGAGGACGACGATTTGGGGGTCATTTGGGTGTAGCTCTTTAAGTTCCTGCCTGACAGACTCAATATTCGCATTATGCTCTGCTGATAGCTGTATGGCAGCAATACCATCTGTATTGCCAACCTTCTTGCCTAATACTACCCGAGAGTCTCCAAGGCTTGCTACAAAAAGGGTCCTCTGATATATGACTCCAACTAGACAGCAGGAACCAGAAGAAGCTATATTCGGCCGGGTACTCCATGACTCTGACACAAGGGCTGTAAACCCCTCCTCCGTTTCTTGAAATGCCGTTTGAATGGTGTCACATGTCACAACTCCCTGCGTTTCAGCTGATAATGCTGCACCAACACAAAGCCTAAGAGTGCCAAGATAAGAAGGCCCCTCCTTAAATAGCACAGTCACATAAAATAAGGGAAAGGACAAGATACGGCAAAAAAGCAATGGATGCCTTCCCATTAAACATGACTCCCACTGATCTTTCTCTCAATTCAAGTTCTAACTAGGCTATCATACAGGGATATCTAAGTTAAATTGAAGAACATGCGCACTCACGTGGGAGAGATGATTCAGATCCGGGATGCACTTAACTGTGCCTGATATAAGCTTCTGAAAGTTCAAAAAGCAGAAACTGAGCAAAGTTCTATCTCAAATTCTCTACCGAATTGGACCCACCTAAAACCTACTCGAAATGAGCCTGCTAATCCAAAATTCACCGTGAATTGAACATAATTATGAGCCAAAACTAAAGTTAGTAAGTAAATGCATAAAATCTGCATGCAGTACTTCACAAAAAGTGTGCTTCACGAGTGCCCTAAAATTAGAAACAACAAATGGAGTCGATAGGAACGAAATGGAGTCGATAGGAACGAAAATGACTATGCGTTCCAACCTCCATAAGCCAAACAATTAGAACATTCAGATTCCATCAAACCCGGATATCTCTGCGTAACCGCCTAATCAAAAACATTCCCGATCAATCAAAAGGCTCTAACCTCGGGGCTCATCAGGAAACGAACCTTGAAAGTGGCGAAACAGATGATCGCACACGTATCGAGCGGCATCAGGCCCGCCGTGACCGTCGTAGACGCCGACGAACGTCCCGAACTGACCGGACTCGATCTGGCTCTGATCCTCGAGCACCTGGTTAGCCTGCACGACGGCCATGGAGAAGTCGCCGGTCGCGCATCTCCCCAGGTCCCGGAACCAGAGCAACCCGTCCTTCCCTTCGCTCCCGAAGGATCCCAGGCCGCCGCCGCCGCCATTATCGCAGCCGAAGGGGTTCCAGCACGAGGAGAGCAGGCTCATCAGGGCCTCGAGCATCCCACATCGCTCGTGGACGCAAGCCCTGCTGGCCCCGATGCAGTAGTCGCCGCCGCCGTCCGATCCGGAGGTCTCGATGTCGTCGGAGCCCGCCAAGATCGGGGACTTTTCCAGGGCTCTCGGAGAGGGTTTCAGCAGGGGAGGATCGGGAGGGTGAGCAGCAGGGAAGAGCTCACATCACTCGCTCTGTCGTCTAGAGAGAGAGAGAGAGAGATGGCGCGTGCGAATATGCGCGCGCGCGCG